AAAGTGCACAAAACATGGTAACTCTTACTGACTATAAGGCAAGATTAATCACAATCACCAAAAGTAATTCCAACGTTAATCTCCAAAGTGGAAAACAGCGCTGTCTAAAGTTGTGAAAAAAGGTAGGCTATAACATGGAGTAGACAGTGAAGCTCAACAGTCTCATCTGGCCAATGTAAATTCCAAAATTCAACCATAATAGCATCCAAAGTGTGTGTGTTTAAATGATGAGGGTGGCAAAATAAACTAAAACTAAACTACTAAAAAGTAAAATGGGACCATCATTTACAGAATGACTTGGCAGTGCAGAAGAAGTCCATGGAGTCCATAAACTTATTAGGAAAGTGTTTATTGGGGTAATAAATCAATTGAGAAGTAGGGTTATTTTCCCGTATGCTTACACAGTCGGATTTATTTTTGCAACCAGTAGAGTTGCCCTCTGCTGGCCGCTAGAGAGAATACAGTTTTAAGGCACTTCGGTATTAGAGATGGGATTTATGGCTCTTTGAAGGGAGCCGTATCTTGAGGAGCGTTCCTTTCAAAGAGCCGTTTAAAAGACTGGCTCCTTTTTATATTTGTTTATTTTTAAGAAGCTAGCCTGGGGGTATGCTCTCCGTCTCTGTGGAGTAGCAAAAGAGGAGCTTGTGTGTGCATGCTGTGTGCGTGACAGCGATTTAAAAAAAAAAAAAAAGAAAAAGAACGGCTCTCAACTGCAACTCGGTTCCCATCGTTCATGTTAAAGAGCCGTTCAACAGATTTGGTTCGTTCGTGAACGTCACAACTCTATTAACTTCACTTTTCAGTTCTGGAAGCTATATCCACTAATTTAATTTACCGTCTATGGCATTGTCTTGTGTTTATCGTGAATTATTCAATGTTATGTTGATGTACTTTTCCACTAAAAAGCTATTCTGAATCCCTGGCCTAAAAGCCAAAATTTAATGTCAGAGAAAGTCTTTCAATTCATTTAAATTGACAAAATATATGCATTATTTGTAAGATGGCTTGAAACTTCAGAAAATAAATAAATTTGGCAGCATTTAGAAAAAACACAACCAAATACAGAAACGTGCTGCAAAAACAGACAACAATGGAAATAGTTGGACATTAAAAAGTGATGAACATGGCCAGACTCAGATGGGACACTGGGACACACTTGTTGTCCCACCAAAGTACCTGTACATTTTTGCTAATATTCCATAGCTGACTTCAATAACTGAGTCACAAACATAAGTGTGTCCCAGCTGTGTGCATCACTTTTTAGTGTCCCCTGGAAACGAATTCCTTTGTCGCCTGTCCTACTTGCAGCGTTTCTGTAAATAAATATAAAATAAATATAATTTGCTTTCCTGGAAGATAACAATTCAATTTTAGTGCATGTATTTTCATAAAGGACCAGTGTGTAGGATTTAGTGGCATTAGTTGTGAAGGCTCTATCTACAGCCAGTGTTTGGTTTGTTCGTTCTGGGCCACTGTAGAAACATGGTGGTTCAACATGGCAGACCCTGTAGAAGAGGATGAACTGAAACAGCGCTTTCTAAGGTAACAAAAACACAACAATTCCTATTTTCAGGTGATTATAAACTAATGAAAACATACCTGTGAATATCATATTCCCTCTCTGCCAATAGATCCTCTAGAATGTTATACACTAGACCTTTAAGTCGCAGTGTGCTGAGCTTTCAGGGCTACCTTTAGTGTCAGGTGGGGTAACCTTACAGTGTGTTAGCAAAGCATCAGTGCCATTGCACAGTGGCATTAGTGAGCACTGCAGGAACATCAGAACTGGTGAAGCCCCATAGCAGCTCATTTCAATTATGCTGGCCATGTCATTAGTTGCCTGAGATACACTGGCATTGAACAGGTTCAGACATGCACCACTGTGCCTAGATTTACCCTTAAACAGTGTGGCTTATCATACATTTCATTTTATTTTATTCTATTTTATTTTATACAATGTATTAACTACAGTATTAAATAGGTTATGCAATCATTATAAAGTCCTAATGATAAAATCATATGATTAAATATTTAACTAAATATACACCAATCAGCCATAGCCTTATAACCACCTTGGCACCCTGGTGGTCATAATATTGTCAAGGATACAAGCAGTCACATGTATGTTCTGAACACAGATAACCGGCATGACAGGACAAGTGCCGACTGAAGGAATTGATTATTTTTTCTATCTTTGAAAGTTAAGATATGACATGCAGTTAGGAAACTGAAAAAAAAAAGAAATCTGGGGCACAGACAGTAAGGCACAGAGGGCTTTTGCGTGTTGTAGGGTGCTTTTTCAGAGTCATTGTCAGGCTTGCCAATATGAACAAGACATATTGGATATTTAAATACTTGATATTAACTGAAAAATTCAGCATGGTTCAGCATGGAGTTAAACCAGCCATTACTTTTTGTTTGTGTAAGAGTGACCAGAACAAACACAGTCTTTTAGTGTTGTGTATTTGTGGCTCTCTCTCTTTCATTCTGTCTAATCGTAGCTCCAAGGCTGAGGACAATATTGCTAATCCTGTTTTTGTTGCTGACTTTACACTTGGCTCAATTCAGTCAATACATTTATGTTGGTACTAAAGTGAAGGAATCAGGGATATAAATACAGAAAAAAAAGTACTCTCCCAAATAAGTCAGTAAACTAAATTACAATGCCCTCCCCCTTTTCTGACCAGTCCTTCCCCTTTAAGCACTTTCATTTAGTCCCTTAGTCCGGAGAAGACTAATGAAAAAGATGCATCACATAGTGTGGCTCCACTGCATAATGGCTGTTGGTAAGATCTAAAACAATATCTACAAAAGCAAATCTAAAGGGATGCTTTATGTGTCAGGGAAGGAGTTGAGGGTGGTAACCTGTGTCTGTCAGAAACATTGAATTTGTTGCTTTGTTGGGGATCTACGGGCTAAAATCAAGACAGGATTTAAGAAGTCCTCCTGAACAGAGTATTTTTAATTCAACATGCTTTTTTCATATAAAATGTGTCTTGACCTCTAGTCTGTAATAATTGAAAACTAACTATTGATGAGTAATATATGTGTTAGATCTTTGTGTTTATTTTTCTTCCAAATTCTCCTTTTTTTTTTTTCAGTCTATCATTATTAACCTTTCGTTTTACACTCATCACGAACCATTTGTCGTGTAATCATCTGTCAAAATGGGGGTTGCTAAACCTAAATAAAAAACACAAGTTCAAGGTCCAAGGTTTGATGAGCCTGCAGTTTAATGAGAGCTCTGAAGTCTGGTGTTTTTGTCCCAGTGGCCTTGAGTCTTATCTCTTCCTGGCACTACTCACGGTATTTGCTTCCAGTCACATACACACAGGAACATTAAAACCTCCACAGCACATTATCTAGCATAACAATTTGTAACTACAGGCAACAATACACACTTGAATGAGGGTGAATTGTTGAGCAGCTTGTGCTGAGAACAACATCATAGGCAGTACTCACTGTATTGTGGGGGGGGGATCCATCTATTAAATTGTTTTTGTTTTTTCTAAATCATGTCCCCAGGCCAACCCACATCATGGGTTAACACTCTGGACTCCATCACTAACAAATTCTACCCAAAAAAAAGGGTGTCATCACCCCTCTCTCTCCCCGCTTCCCTGTCACTATCAATTAAAGGCAATCAATTTTAAATGAATCTTTTTTTTTACTGAAACAAAATTAAAATAAAAACGATGATCAGGATGTCTAAAAAACCCAAATCCCAACCCACAGAACATGGAGGTCATCGCGAAATCCATCTCGATTCATAACAAAATGACTACAAGAGAAGTGACGAAAACAACACCCATGGCTTGTTATTGAACAATATGAATGCCAGGAATTACTGATATCAGCACTCCCTTTTTTTTACACAGTTAATTAAAGAAAGAGTATTGCTTTAAAAACCTTTTATAGCTGCCACTGACAGCTTATTTTACCACCAAAGTGTCCCAGTAGTTGTATTTTTAGTTAGCATTAGCAGGGTTCTGAAATGATGACAATTTATTAACAAAACCTTTACATTAGATTAAAACTTGCTAACATGTTGGATGTGGTCATTTATTTTCACAATTTGCAGCCATTTCTGTATCTTTGGCTTTCAACATTGATACAACAACCCCCCACGTCTATACAACAGATCAAAAAGATTTCTTCAGAAACAAAGTGCTTCAAATCATCTCTGGTAGGAACGAAGGGTAAGTGCTGTGTTTCAGTGGGGGCTTGCTGGTAATTACAAAACCCCACTATTATTACTCACATCAACTCTTGATGTTCATTATTTTTGTAGTACAGAAAAAATTCCATTCAACAATATGGCATAAATTTCAACACATGGTTCCTATTAGTTTGTACTCGACGTGCTTCGGTTTACAATAAGATCAGATGTCATAAATTATATATCAATCCATAGAGTTGGGTCATATTCTCAGGGGCAAGTGGCAGGGGAGCTGAATCAGGGGGGTTACAGTGGACCTCAGGCGGATGGCCAGGAGGTAGGGCAGAAGTGGCTCTGAAGATCTCAGGCGAAATGCATGAAGATCAAATGAAGGTGAGGGCAGAACTCCCCAGGAGGCAGTAGCAAGGCAAAAAAACTGGGCAGCTGAGTCTCTGTGGTACTGAGTAGCTGAGTCTCTGTGGTACTGAGTAGCTGAGTTTCTGGGGTGCTGGGCAGCTGAGTTTCTGGGGTGCTGGGCAGCTGAGTCATGACGACCCTGTCTCCTTCTGTGGCCTCCATGTGACCACATGAAAATGGCCAGGCATCTGGACGTCATTGCCCACCTGACATAATGCCTGTACCATTAATCCATTACATGTACCTGTAAATCATCATCTTAAAATAGACTTTACAAAGTGCTTCACTTGAGGATAAATTGAACAGATCATTAACTGCAACATATCATCACATAACATATGTGGTTTTTGTGCATATACATTGTTCAGGCCCTGGTGTACATGGAGTCCATTACTATTACCATGTTTGTTGAACTCATCCACAGAATACTCACTGGACCCCAGCAGCTACAGGGATCCGAAGAAACATGCAAATCTGATACAAACCAAACCCACCAGTGCCTCATTATTCCAGGTACATAAATATGTTTTGTAACATTAATATTACACAATTAAAACATAAAAAGCTACAGTTTCCAACAATGTTGAAATACAGATGGATGACAAACTGTATGTGCAGGAAAGTCATGTTTCCAAATGATGGTATTTGTATTATGAATAGTACTAATCAGATGCTATTGTCACAGACATTTCTCTCACAGATACAACAATACCCATCAACCACTTTGGCCTGTCGATAGCTGAAGACTCCAGACGCTCCCAATTCACTGTAAGAAAATCACAAAGCTCAATAAGTTAGATCAAATCAAACTATGGTTTCTCTGTGGAATTTAAGTTCAATATGATGAATCAAATTTCTTTCATCATTTATGATCTGATCTAGGTTTGCAGTCCAAGTGTCATCCATGACTGTTATGAGAACTCTAGCCAGAGTAAAGTATGTTACAATATGCCAGATAATCTTCAGCAGATCTCCTCTTTCACACCTGATTTCCAAGGTAAAACACATTTAGAGAGTGTAAACAAACTCTGGTTGGAGGACATGTTGTCCTTGTCCTTGTCTTGGAATAAAATAATGTTTAAAATATTATTACCATTATTTATTGATTTATTTTTTATTAGTTTGTCCTCACTAAATATTCTTTACAAACTTTCACTCTGTATGTTTTTTCAGAATGCATACAAAAGACAGTGGACCTCGTCTTTCTATTTGATGGATCAGCGAGTATGACTGAATCAGAGTTCAACAAAAATAAAGATTTCATAGTGGATATAATGAACAGCTTTCTGAACACATCAATCAAGGTCACTGCACTACTGCAGCATTAAAACATTGATTTATTTGTTGATTATATATACATAATATCATATGAATACTGTGTTATGTTGTCTGCTTTTTTCAGTTTGCAGCAGTTCAGTTCTCCTTTGGTTACAGGAAAGTGTTTGACTTCAATGACTATCAAGCTGGTAGTGCTCTCAATAAACTAATGGAAGAAGGACATATGAAGAGTCTAACGGATACACACAAAGCACTCAAATTTGTGTTGTAAGTTCACTCACATTAAACAAACAGTTCTTAAAAAACTGAACAACTGAATAACATTACAATAACTGAACAAGTGCCACAGTATAACTTAAGGATTATGAGCTTTGTATTTGTTCAAGTAATATTTATACATATTTTGTAGATGAAGTTTAATGTATGAAATATGAATAATATATTAAATATTGTTCTTAGCTTTACAAATCCTGTTAAATTTCTTTCAGGGAAGAAATCTTAGAAAAGCCAGATGCAGGCGCCTCTCCTGATGCAACTAAAGTTGTGGTACTAATCACAGATGGAGATCCCAGTGATATCGACAAATATGGAATTATTAAAAAATATGATGATAAAAACATAATTCGCTTTGTCATTGGGGTAAGCTGTGATATGATACATGTGTGTTTGTTTGTGTGTGTGTGTGTGTGTGTGTGTGTGTGTGTGTGTGTGTGTGAGAGAGAGAGAGAGAGAGAGAGACTCACTGGTTTAGGTCAGTAATACATTGATATATCCCTACTGGCACAATGTTATTCCATTTATGCTTTTATTGTATAATTTAGCTGTACTGTTCTTAAAAGCTTCCCCAAATGACCCTCTACCCAACTTTTCCCCACTCTTTCCACCATGAAAAGCAACCTAATTATGAGAGAAAGTAACCAGTCTAGAAACACTAAAAATAATAATGCCACATCTCATTCTGAACAAGAAATAAATCAGGTCTCGTATTTATTTCATTGTCATTATTTCATGTTATAGTTTAGGATTCTCTTGCTGTGTTGAATTGTATTGGCCCCATAAGATTTGGAGGTACTTCATAATTTCCAGCAGCATTTTGGTTTCAGGTCAAAGATGCTAATCTGGATAAATTCAGGGCCTTTGCTTCAGAACCAAAAGACAAATATGCCTTCAAAATTAAGAACTATGACGGACTCACAGGAATACTGGAAAACCTTCAAAAAAAGATCTGTAAAATGGAAGGTGATGTTCAAGTCTTTTTTTCTAACATGTTATCTTTCAATGTGTGCCCCTCTAATTTAACATGAACTACTTCTGTCTCATGTTTAGGCCCTGAAGTGGCTCAGGCAGGAGACATTGGATCCAGTGTCCTCTACAAGGTGAGTAAAGTAATTGTTATCAACTCATGACATTCTAAACACAATCAAAGTTGACATGTTTTACCCTTAACAACACAGTATAGTCAGTCATTACCCTGTCCAAGCAGAAGCTTAATTTCCCCTCCCACAATTATCTATGCATGGTTGAAACACCACTAAACATTTGTTCGCATATTGATACTTGTGCCTACCTGTGACCGCTCATTAGACCTTTTAATGAGAAGAATGGCTAGAGAGAACTGGTACAGCAGCCATCGACTCATGTCGGGGCCTGCACAGACACTGTTTCAGACACCATGCAAAAGACTTACGCGTTCAAAACTACACACAAATCAGATCAAAATTGTCATGTAGCGCTTATTTCCTGTTGCCAGTAGGTGGCGCTACCACTATATCTGAATATTGTTATGTAGACATGTTCATGGCGGGACTCTTATCAAACGTGTGAAGTTTTATTGAGATTGGACCATGTAAGCTGAAGTTATAAGGACGTGTTCAGGGTGAAACTGTTAACAGAATATGTGAAGGTTAGTGGAGATTGGACATTGTACACCGAAGTTGTATGAGTAACTATCTGTTTTATGGTGAATCTGCGAAATTCGACACAGGCATGCGGTTCGACGTACAGTCATAAATAGTACAACTTTTCATCTACAGTTTGTTTTGATTGTACCTACCAATATTGAAATTGATCCGATAAATTCCCTAGGAGGATTTCATTCAAATACAACGTGAAAAATCACAGAAAATGACCCCAAAATTCAAAATGTCCGACTTTGGTTGAAAGCCACGAACACGCCCTTCAACGTACAGTCACAAATAGCACAACTTCTAATCAGCGTTATTTTCTTACTGTACTGACCAGTTTTGATGTTGGTCCGATAAATTCCCTGGGAGGAGTTTGTTCAAATACAACGCAAAAAAATCAACATAAATCACCACAAAATTCAAAATGGCCGACTTCTTGTTGGGTTTGGATTATGTGTCCAAGAGGCTTTTTTGCTCATCCCATCATGATAGACATGCTTACCAATTTTTGTACGTCGGTCATACGTGTCTTGGGGGCTGATTCTTGGGGGCATGGCTAAGCCATTTTGTGACACCCACCTACGGGACCAAGACAATACCTTAGCCTTCGCCACGACTGAATTTTGTGCAAAGTTTCATGAGTTTTGTGGCATGTTTAGACCCCCAAGAAATGCTAACAGAAAAGTAGATTTTCACTGCATTGCCATGGCAACGTGGTTCCACATAAGTTGTCAAGATTCATAAGATTCATAAGATTCATAAGATGTCATCGTCATCGTCCTAAGGGACTACTGACAGAATTTCAGCTGGATCTGGTCAATCTACTGGGAGATACATTTAAAAGTGTAAAAATGACATTTCCTTTCACCACTAGGTGGCACTCTCACTATTAGTGAATATCATCACATAGATGTGTTCAGGGCGGGACCCTTATCAGACAAGTGATGTTTGGAGCCAATTAGACAATGTACACTGAAGTTAAAGCAACTTCGTGTGTCAAACATTGTTTTGTTGGGCTGAAGCCTCAGTGTCTTTATTACTTAGTTGAACTCATTTGAGTTTAGTCCCAGATTGTTTGTAGCTTCTTTTTCTAATTTCTTACATTAGATCAGCATTTATCTACTTATGTCCTTTGTTTCATTAATTAATTTAACTTTAACAAATCAACTTTTCCTTTACACCTCTGTCCTTTTGCCTTTTTTTGCTTGGTCTTTCTCTTGGGAGTTTGGCATTGCAATTCTGCTGTGAGTGTTCGCCATGTTACAATATTGTAACTGTGTGTTAGTCAGTTGTCATATTGCTTATGGAGTTCCAAGGGTTTGCCACTCTGATCAATATTTAATCATCCATCCATGTAGATCTGTTTTAGCAGGGCGAGCAGCAGCTCCAGGGATGAGGTCAGTCAGTCGAGGGCTAAAATGTCTCAACTGTTGGATATATTGCCTTGAAATGTAGTACTGACATTCATGTTCCCCTTCAGGATGATAATCTGTGCCGCCATCAGGTCAAATTTTTAATTTGATTTTACTTTTGTTATGATCCTGCAGCACCAATGATATAACCATCAGTCTCAGCCGTACTTTGGTGCTAATTAGCAAGTGTTATTAGCACCAATAACTAACATGCTAAGTTGCTTAACATGCTTAAGTTTATTGACCTCTGCTATGATGTGATCTAGATTTGCAGTCCAAGTGTAGCTCATGAATGCAATGAGAACTCCTATGTGAACAGTGTGTGTTACAAGATGACAGATGACCTTAAGCAGATCTCCTCTTTCACACCGGTTCTCCAAGGTAAAAGACATTTAGAGAGTGTGAACATCTCACTCTGTGATCACAATGTGTTTGTTCTGACTAAATATTCTTTACAAACTTTCACTCTGTATGTTTTTTCAGAATGCATACAAAAGACAGTGGACCTCGTCTTTCTATTTGATGGATCAGCGAGTATGACTGAATCAGAGTTCAACAAAAATAAAGATTTCATAGAGGATATAATGAAAAGCCTTCTGAACACATCAATCAAGGTCACTGCACTACTGCAGCATTAAAACATTGATTTATTTGTTGTATTATATTTACATAATATCATATGAATACTGTGTTATGTTGTCTGCTTTTTTTCAGTTTGCAGCAGTTCAGTTCTCCTCAGATTACAGGAAAGTGTTTGACTTCAATGACTATCAAGCTGGTAGTGCTCTCGATAAACTAATGGAAGAAGAACATCTGAGGAGTCTTACTAACACACACAGAGCACTCACATTTGTGTTGTAAGTTCACTCACATTAAACAACCAGTTCTCAAACTCAACTGAATAACATTACAATAACTGTCCAACAACAACTGCCCCAGTATAACTTAAGGATTATGAGCTTTTTATTTGTTCAAGTAATATTTATACATATTTTATAGATTAAGTTTAATGTATGAAATATGAAATATTGTTGTTAGCTGTACAAATCCTGTTAAATTTCTTTCAGGGAAGAAATCTTAGAAAACCCAGATGCAGGCTCTCCTGATGCAACTAAAGTCGTGGTACTAATCACAGATGGAGATCCCAGTGATAGTGACAAATATGGAATTATTCAAAAATATGATGACAAAAACATAATTCGCTTTGTCATTGCGGTAAGCTGTGATATGATACGTGTGTGTCTGTGTGTGTGAGAGAGAGAACAATAGTTAAGATATGTTTTTACCAGAATGGGAACATTTCAGATAGTTTGTATTTAAGGAAATTTAAGTTCAGTCTTAAACCATGGAAGTGATATAAGTCGGTTTGAGTCAGACTTTGTGCAAAACTTTCTCGTTTATCTTACTACATCAGACTTTGAGGTATTTCATAATGCTTCAAGCTGCATTCTGGTTTCAGATCAAAGATGCTAATCCGGATATATGTTGGGCCTTTGCTTCAGAACCAAAAGACAAATATGCCCTCAAAATTCAGAACTATGACGGACTCACAGGAATACTCGAAAACTTTAAAAAAAAGATCCTTCAGATCAGAGGTGATGTTCACTTGTTTTTTTCTTTACTTCTGTCAAGTTTATCTTTCTGGTGTGCTCTGCAATAGTGACATGAAATGTTATAACTTCTTTATATTTAGACTCCACAGTGGCTCGGGCAGAAAACATCACTAATGAAATGTCTCGGAGTGCATTCAGTGCTGTCTTCTACAAGGTGAGACGTCTTTTTTGTTACACCTCTCAAAGTTATAAATTTGGACCTTTGATTTTAGCACCAACATTTGACCTGTCAGTGTAGTATCAATGGCAAAACCTCTGCTGTTAAGTTGGACATTTTAATATTGGGTCTTATGAAGATTGACTTGCTTTTTGTTGTTATTAAATTTTGTCATATGTAAAATATTAAATTTTTCCAATATTACACATTGCTTTTTTTACATAGAGATAGAAATGTGTAATAACTACAACTACTGTTTGTGGCTCCACTCTTCTCTGTGCTCTAACCAGACACTGCACTTTTCTGTCAACAGGATACCTTGATTCTGGGTTCAGTGCTATCAAACAGCTGGCATGGTTCTTCAGAGCTTCATGAACTAAAGCAAACTCAAATTGAAGATCCAAACGTGAAGAATGACTCCTACCTGGGTATTGAACATAGCTTTTTATTTAATTTAGATTATCTGCTTCTCATTAAGATTATTTTTTATTTGGCTAGAGATATTGATGTTCTATTTTATTTCAGGTGGTGCTTGGTAAAAAACATATGCCTCAGTAAGTCACAATACATTAAGGGACAACATACTAGGTACGATGCAAGGGCATAACATTTACAACCAGACAAAAGAAGAGCAACACAAACGAGGGTTGGGATCTTGTGGCAGGGAGTTGAGAGAGTGAGGGCGGAGAAGGGATCCACTTATATAGGCCACACCCACAGCTTCATGCAGGTGCCCTCAATCATCACTCAGGAAACTGCACCTTGAACACAGAGACATAACAGACACACATGCAAAGGGATAGCAAAAGTACAATGACACGTAACATTCTCGTTAAAATAATTTTTTATTTGCCTGGATATTGATGTTCACGTGGTGCTTGGCAAAAAACATATGCCTCTGTAAATTACCTTTATTAGTCTACAACCTCAGTGATGGTTTAAAATAGCTTTGTACATTGGTAAATGTAGCAAATAGATGAGTCTGTACAATCCCTTTATATTAAGACAATAGCATTAGATTTCTTTCAAATCAACATAATTTTTGAAACACTTCCACTGCATTATACTCTCTTTGATGTGAGCGAGCTTTAGCTGATTATATCATATGTGACTGACAATGTTGCAGGATTCTCCATTTCTGTTGGAGAGAAGAATAAAGCTCCTATATATTTCACGGGTGCACCAAGATTTGAGCACACAGGACAGGTTGTACTTTTCAGACATGATTGTAAGAACTGGACCGCAGCCCAAAGAGTAAATGGGGACCAGGTTGGTAACTTAACTCTTAAGAAAGAAAAAAAGATTTCTTATACTCCAATGACTGAGATAGTTTGAAATTCAGTCTGTAGTGTACACCATTTTGGCTCCATTGTGTGAAATAATAGTTTTATTGCACATTTTAGTAAGTCATTGTTATTTAAAACAGGAGAGCTATGGTAAAAGTTGGAGATGAAAGGATGCTTGTCAAGACCAATGCAGTGGAATGGGCAGATAGCACTTTTATCATATATATGTATGTACAATATATACATGTAGGTCTTTGGACATGGTTAAGGTAGTGTATCTTTTTTTAACTTGTTACTTGATAAAAATCCTCATTTGTATCCCACACATTTTTCAGATTGGTTCCTACTTTGGTGCAGAACTGTGCTCAGTAGACGTCAACTCAGATGGTAACACCGACTTCCTGCTGGTGGGAGCTCCACTGTTTTATCAGCCTCAGGAGAAGAGAGAGGGCCGGATATACGTCTACACACTGACTGATGAGGTGGGCTGTGACTGTGTTTGAGCTTTAATGAGGTTACAGGGAGAAACTTAATGTATGTGTTGTCTTAATCAATAAACTTATATTCTTATTTCCTATAGATACAACTGAAAAGGGAACTGAATGTGACGGCACCATCCATGGGCAGATTTGGCACCACCATATCCAGTCTTGCAGATCTGAATGGAGATGGACTTAGAGATGTTGCTGTTGGAGCCCCTCTTGAGGATGATAATGGGGGGGCTGTGTACATCTACCTTGGTGACAGACAGAGAGGGATACACAGCACTTTCAGTCAGGTGAGACAGAGAAAACCTGACATTCAGAAAAAAAAGATTGCTTCTAGATAAGAAAACAGATTGACTGTTGACCATGCAGCAGTCAAGCAAAAAAGATAAATCTCCACATCAATCAGTAGATTATCAACGATAGCAGCACAATTGGCCAATAGATCAGGCCAAAACTGGCTTTAGATTACAACTCTGAAACCACCCTTTTTTGACCATCATCAGGAATGGCAATCTGTAACGAATAAATAAATAGTTGTGCAAGTAACATATAAAATTCTAGCACTAAATAATTCAGCTTTTGTTTTAATAATGCTGGTATTTTCTTTCAAAAACCAACTACCATCAAAGACCGTCCTCCAATATAACTGCAAACATGCACCATTTGTCTCTCTATTGAGTACCTTCAGATATTTGTGCCAATCACCCACTGTTTCAGTTGTCAAACTTTTTTTATTCCAGAGAATCCTGGGACAGAAAATAAAGCCTGGGCTCAGATTCTTTGGACAGGCCATTGATGGAGACATCGACCTCGGAGAAGACGGACTCCCAAATATTGTAATCGGATCACAGGGCACAGCTGTTGTCTTAAGGTATGGATATTGTATGGGAATATTTGTTAGTAGTGTATTTTACAAAATAAACTAAAAATGTCATCAGTCACTAATTTAGCCATGGCTTTCCCAGAACATAAAGAGAGAAGTGAATCATGCACTGGTGTTGTGAGGCTTGTTTACCCTTTCTTCATGCATTAGTATACCATTATCCTGTGTCTTAATAATACATTTTTAATCAATGTCTTTCAGGTCCAGACCTGTTGTTGATGTCATTGTTCATCTTTCTTTGCATCCCGAGAAGATAAACACTAAGGAAATTGACTGTCTGGGCAACACAGATGACAATCTACCAAGCGTTACCTTAAGAGCATGCTTTGAAATGGTAGAAATAACAAAGAGCAAAGCAGGTAGGGACCTGACCCAATAAGAGAATGTACAAAAACTATATGGGTGAGGTAAGAGTTGAGAAAAGGGGGCTCTGTAGCAAACACTCTTGGCCATGTTAGTACATATCAGGCTGTAGCATTATCTGATCAAATTTATTTTTGCATCAGCCACAGAGCTGTTCATTCATTCAGTGGCTGTAATAACTGTTTATTTGGCAGACCTTTATTAAAAAACACACTGGTTGGAATATTCTGATATATGGAGAGTTCAAAGATAAGGAGAGGGGCAATGTTTCTGGCTCATTTAATCAATTTGGATGACTTTGCAGGGGCCATCAGCTCAGGACTAAACATCTCGTACATCCTCGACGTGGATCCGATGAGACAAACACATCGAGGTTTCTTCAGTCAGACTGATGAGAAAGCTAGGAATCTTACCTCGACCTACGAGCTGCGAGATAAAAACACCTGCTTCCCCTACACCATCTACATGCTAGTATGGAGGTTCTTCAGAGGAACATATTCACATTTATAAGTGTTGGATATCGCCAAGCTGTCTGTTATCTATCTCTCCTTACATCCACATAGGCCAAATTTCTAAATTCTTCTACCATTTTAATCTTTGTGCTTTTTGAAAGTTTCTTCAACAATATGCAGATGACTCTTCTTTTTTTCTTGCAGAAATGTGTGGATGACACACTATCACCCATCAGCATCAGACTAAACTTCTTCCAAATTGACAGCGAGAGCGCGAGTGTCGTCCTGAACGTGGACAGCATAAGGCAGACAGTTGTTGAAGTACAGTATGTACAGTGACTACAGCAGAAGGTGTCTGTGTGGTCAGTATTTGAATAGATGTAGTTGTTTAATCAGTTTAATAAGAGTTGTCTAGAGGGATCTAAAGAAAAAAGAAAAACAAATGCAAAAATAACAATAATTTAGTTTTTTCTGTCTGCATGACCACTTCTTTCTGACTTGCTCTCCATTTTAAGTGACCTAAACAGAAGTTACAACTCTCTTACAGGTTCCCTTTCAAAAGTGATGTTGAATAATGAAACCTTTATTGGTGAACCTGAGACTGATTTCAAGTATGCACATCTGACAAATAGCAAGGGAGAAGCATGGCTGGAAGAGTGAGTCAAAAGGACAAGAACTGAAATTACTCATTAATTAAATTATTAATAAAACCATACCTGTGATGAAGTGAAATAATGAGTATATTACTATTCCACTGTACTCATGTTAGTGTATTCCTACATATACAGAACATTGCACTAGTCTCTCAAATGTACGATCAAAGCTAGGCCATCACTTCTTACAACACATTCATGTTAAGAAATCTTTGTAATCATGTATAATCAGTGTAGATCACAAGTGTTTGTATGTAAATATATGCACAGCTTATAATGTTTGTGGTGTAGAGTTGATGGAATGTACTCATTTGTTATAACGTCTGTTGTGTTCAACAATGTATGGCATCAAAAGAAAAACCTTCAAAGTTGTGAGTACTCTTTATCCTGCTTTAGTGTATATACCAGCACACATCCGGATTTAATGCTACATATTTGACTCACTAATAAAAAATCTTCAGAAAAGACAAAAATCTTCAAATTCATTGAAACCATTGATTAACACAATAATTTTTACATTAAAAACAAACGAAGTAGAAGAATGTTTTACAGTTTATTTACTTAAAATAATAATAAACAGTACTATTTACTCTTCCTATATAGGATACACAAATGAGTGTTTTGGGACCTTTTCAGTATACAAAAAAACAAAGACTTTGCTATATACATGTCAAATAATTTCATGTTTTCAAAAAAGGTTGAAGGTGCACAAAAATGAAGTTGTAAAAATCGCACAAAAATGTCAAATACGGAGTAGCCTGCATGTTTTAAATATAAAACAAGTTTGTACAACCTCTTCACACACAAAAGTAATTCCAATGTTAATGTCAGTGGGAAACAGTGTCTAAAGTCTTAAAAAGGTCTTTGAGTGGTGTGGCTGCTGCGTTCCCATCAACCACCTTTCCTTCCTCTGACGTGTGCTTTAGTCCTGGTCGGGTGTGACGGTGCTTCAGCAGCGCCACTGGTTTAAATGGCAAGTTGTGCCTGCCAGAGTTTCTCATTTCCGGCCTGCCGAGGGTCGACCCTTCTCTTCCCTCCAATAAGATTTGAGGAGTCTGAAGAGAGGGCAGGTGCTCTGTTGAGCGTGCAACCGTTTTCTCGGTGGTTGGTTTGTGGGAATTTTGAGTCTGAGGAACAGAGTGCAAACAATAACAAGTAAACCACAGAAAGAGGCACATAGTCAAGGCAACACTATCCACAGAAAGGTAGGATGCAACACAACTGTAGAGTAGACTGAGTTCGACAGTCTGATCTGGCCAAAAATCAATCCCAACAGCATCCAAAGTGTTGAAATGATGAGGCTGGCAAGATTTCGCAACAAATTCCATGAAAAGACCAAAATCAACAATGGATCTTCCTAATAACTTCCAAAGCCTGAAGTATCTTATTCTTCTGTCCCATAGAGCTTTCTCTTTGTCCAAAAACTATTACAAACACATCAGTTGGCCCAAGCATTAGTCAAAACAATGCTAGTCAAAACAATGCTAAATTTGATTGAATTACAAAAGTCACAAATGGTATTAAATGAAGAGCTGCCTGGGAGCCGAAAGAGCCAGCTCTTATTGCTCTCTAAAAACAGCTGGACTTATCATTAGTTCTTTAGTTTTTAGAATAATCTTGGGCACTGTAGTTATTTTTAAGTCAGTCCTCACATGTCATCATGTCATGCAGTAAATACACACCTGAGAACCAAATCTGTATTTACCCGCAGCTGAACACAGTCAGTAAATGCAGTATTTCCTCCTGTTTGAGCAACGTTTGCTAAAAACTACAGCGGCCAGCTTTTTTAGTAAATAACTGAACCTGAGAGTCTACAGCCATGCTAGCAGCTTTGTGAGCCTGTACTTAAAGGCACACTATGCAAGATTTGTACCTTAATATAACAGCTTCGAAGTCATTTCGATGGTAAACAAACTCGTAGTATAGCGAATCATCCCTATAGCAAAGCAGGAGAGGGACGCCGTTGGCAGAACCAGCAATGCAAGTCTGAAAGGTGGCGCCCCGCCAAATCTCGCGAGAATCACGAACCGCTTTACGGCATTCACTCAGACGTTACCTGGTCAGTCCTCAGAGTCTATCTTTGCCTTTTCGATGTCCGAGCTTCCATCCTACTGAACATGTGTGTTTTCAGTGTGTTTTTTGCTATTTTTAACTATTTTCTTACTTTCTTACTACTTTGTTCACGTCGCCTAAATACTTTTTTGGCGTTTTTGAGCACTTTTTATTTTTTGTTTGCACAGGTCTCCATGGCGGCGGGGAGTCGCATTGTTTACACCCGCGACCAGATGATCGCCCTGAAGCACCCGAGCATCCTGATTGGAGAGAGACCCTCAATACCGGAGGAGCTGAGGGAGACGGTGAGGCTGCAGAGCGGGGGGTTAAACGGAGGATGAAGAAGAGGAGGTTTAAACTCTACATCCCTGTAGTCATCACTGGAAACAAACATGGCTACATGAGCAGATACCGGACTCCAACATCACCATGCCCGGCTTCCAGGCGGTTCGAGCCGACAGGGACACCACCGTGACTGGCAAGAAGAAAGGAGGGGGGACTGGCCGTGCTCATAAACAACAGGTGGTGTAACCCCGGGCACGTCTGTGTGAAAGAGCGTGTCTGCAGCCCAGACATCAAGCTCGTCGCCGTCGGACTTCGTCCATATTATCTGCCATGGGAACTTTCCAGTGTTGTCACCATCACGGTCTATATTCCTCCGTCTGGGAAAGCAGAAGCAGCGTGCGACGTCATCCACACTGTGACTGCAGGACTACAAACGAAACATCGGGAGGGCCTTCATCATCATCACAGGGGACTTCAATCACGTTTCTCTCTCGTCCACACTCCCAACCTTCCACCAGTTTGTCACATGCAGCACCAGAGACAATAAGACCTTGGACCTGCTGTATGCAAATGATCCTGTTTTTTATATCTGTATTTATTTCACTCAAACGTTGCTGTGACAAGTGAATTTCCCCATTGTTGAGAAAGTTATCCATCTATCTATCCATCTATCTATCTATCTATGTACCGGTATACAGGGGGGAGGGGATCAGGCCGTGAGTGCAGATCACGTGTGTATAGAGACGGCTCTGGTGAGTGGTATTTACGACGAGTTAACGTTAAATACAAATACTCCGCAGCGACTCTCGGGGTAGCTGTTTGACAGAACCGGAAAACTGCACAGTATGCCTTTAGCCTTTGCACGCAAAGTCTTTTTTCGTCTGAAATTGTCACGTTTAAAAATAAATACCGCCTCACATTGTGTCAATCATGTTTACACACCGACTCAGAAACCTTCATTTGTCATTAAAGTTTTCCGAACAGGTTTGATTTTTTGTTTTTTTTAGCTGGTGAAACTCTCCTCGTTCTTGACAACTTGGACCCAATTACTATTTTATTTTAATTACTATAATTATTTTTCTACTTTCAGTGAGAGGACCACAAAATCACCCTCATTGCATGATGACTCATTCTCTTATTGTCAATTTTGCAAGAAATAGAATAATAAAAACCATCAGACTAATTTAATCGGATAACAGATTAAAAATCCCAAACGAAAAATACAGACTTAATGTGGAAAGGTTGCTAATAGTTGTTAATGCTAACTTGCACACAGTGACAATGCTACCATATTCACACAGTGCAGCTGAGGAATATCATTCATTTTTCTGGGTTTCTTTTTAGACATAAACCGAAGTATTGGGCAATTTTAAATTTTGTAGGATTTTTGGTGATGCACATTATAATTCATCCTGAGGGGAACATTAATGTCTGTACCAAACTTCATGGCAATCGATCCAGTAGTTTCAATCATTTCACTCAAAACCACAAATGTTAAGTTCAGGATAGCATAGAGAAAAAGTCAGGCGATTGCCAAAGTCAGTGATAGTAGTTTCATAATTTGGGTCAATACAAAAGTTAAGATATTTCACAGGATAAGTGAACAGTTTGACCTGCTGGTGGCACTACATGAAAAGTCAGGGGATCACTAAAGGCAATATGTACATTATGAAAGCCTGTACAAAATTTCATAGCAATCCATCCAATAGTTGTTGTCTGGACCAAATTGGTGGACTCACCGACCAGCTTATAAAGATTTTCATCTTCAGTAGGAACCAATGGGCTTGGGGTCAAACACAGGATAGGGAAGTCATCAAATATTGAGAGATGGACTAACACGTTGTCGGTTTTGGTCTCTTCATGGGATATTTTGACAATAAGAAAAAAAAATTGTCTTTCAGTAAAACGCCTACCTCATGCTCAAGCTTTTGTCTACTCCTATTTTTCCTCTTCTGTTGTTGCTTCACAAAGACACACTCTGTACTGCTTTCATCCTTATTTTCACTTTCTGAAATGCAGTAACGATAAAACAATAACACATTTTAAATCTACCAGGACCACAACATCTTATATACAAATATCAATATAAACGTCTTAAAATGAAATAAATAAATGGCATACCTGCGGGGACACTGATCTGAACAGTGTCCTGTTGCTGTCTGTCTTGTTGGTATGGTCTCAGGCACGCAAAGAGAGTCTGAAGATGGGAATTTGCAGTGGCTGCTACTGCAGATCCTACAAAATGAACAAGGCATTAACAACAAATGTCAGCAGGGCAAATCAACATTTTACACTAGCATTCGTATTCAGTGTGTGGCATGTCCTTACCTTTGTTGGATGAGATGTCGGGCAGCTGCTGATGAGCATGGGTTGTAGATGGACTGTTACCACGAGGAGTTGGACTAGCAGACATCTCGCTGAGAGTCTCAGACACAAGGCTAGAGACGGGGTTCACCGGCAGCTTTGCAGGTGGATTTATGGGCTCAAGTGAACTGTCTTTTCCTATTCCAGGATTAGGAGAGAAATTAGGGAACCTTGGCGTATGAAGGATTTCTTTGACATCGGTTCTGACCTGATGTGGCTGAGATGTCTCTACATTAGAAGCTCTTTGTTTGGAGTCTGCTGTATGAGATATATTGTCAACTGACTGCATTGATTGTTGAGAACAGGATGGAGTCCTTGAATAATCTGGCTGGGACAGCGTACACGGGAGAGGATCAGCACTGAGAGGGGCAACAAAAAGGCTGAGGAAGGACCTGGCAGAGGCTTTATCAGGTTCAAGTGCAGTTTTAAGGTGATTACTTCTGCAATCTGCAGACTGCGGAACAGGACAGAAAGAAATTGAGCCTTGAGGACAAGAGGAACTTGTTACTGTGTGGTTTATAGGCAGAGTGTCGGCAATGGGGTTTGAGGAAATGCTAGGACAGGGACTTTTCAGGGTCTTTTTACATCCAACCGCCAAGTCACCACAATGTTCCATTTTACTGCTGCATTTTGCTGTGGTTTCAGTTGAATAGTTTTGTTTTGTGCCAAGTTTGAGTCCAAATTGCATTTCTTTGGAGCACAGCTGGGTGTCAGTGGGTTGTTTTGCTGCAATATGAGAGTTTCCAGGATAACGTGACTTAAAGGAGCTGGTTCCAGGTTCAGAAGGACTTGATGCTTTACTTTTAAACTCCCTGAAACCTGGAGAGGGACAAAAAGGCTTAAACGAGGGTTGGGAGATAGATGTCAGAACAGAGAGGTGTGGCTTCAATTGTATGGGATGTCTGGAAGTAGATGTCTGACTAGGGGGCTTTGGAAAAATCAATTTGTGCTGTGTGGGTTTAAAAGAGGGAACACCTTCATTTTTACTGTCTATAGAGCATGTAATATCCGTAGACAACAACTTGATTTCATGGGAACCACTTTCAGCAGGTCTCAGGGATTCTGGCATATTTCCACCTTGCTTCTCGTCATCCCCAGAGGCCAGGTTACAGTTAGGGTAGGTCTTTGAAATCCTGTCGGTGTGCACTTGGAAGGATGACAAGCTTTTGAAAATGTTTTCCTTGGATTTGTGTGCTTCATTTCTGGTATTTCTGGAAAACAAGACCCTCTTATTTTGGGTTTCTGAGCTTTGCAGAGGATAAGTGATCTCTTCAAAGTAAGTTTTTGGGGTATCGGAGATCGTTTGTGCACTAGGAGCGGTAGGTGTGTGGCCAAAGGTAGGATTTTCCACTAATTTACAAGACCTGAGGACGGCATCGACAGAGTAGGGAACTTGGCTTTGGTTTACAGAATCTGACGAGCAATCAGAAGAAGAGAGAGGGGCCAATTCTTGACTTTTTGGAGTTGTAAAGAAATTAGTGAAAGGTTTGGATAGTTGAGGTCCAAGCACAGCTTCAACAGAATAACAAACTGGCTCCTCATCATTAAGGTTAGTTGACAGTGAGCTGTGGGGTTGGGCAGCATCTGATGCATGTGGCGGGACAGCTTCCTCCATGTTGCCAGCCATTTGTTCAGTCTGATGTGACAGGGCTTCACTCTCAGCATTTGTGTCTGCGCTTTTGTAAAAGTTAGGCCTGAAAAATAGAAAAATAAAAGTTCATCCCAAATGTATGCAGGAATTACACATATTGACAGAAGCACGATGACAGGTTTAAGTTAGCAAACCTGAGTGGTTGTTTGAATACATCAGGGGTTCTATTTGCTTCTATAATTTCTGACTCGTCTGTGTTTGTTGGCTGTCCTGACGAGTCCTGTTCAGCTTTTTTTGCAAGTTCAGAGAGGTCAATTTCCCGTTTTAATGCCTGCAGTGAGAAGAGGTAAAGCACATGAGAGATCAGCACACAGCAATGCATAAAGAACGTTTTAAGAACATTGTCATGTCTGGACTTTTTTACTTGCGTACCTCATCCAACAGTTTGTTAGTGACGTCATTAAGTGACTCATGGGAAAACCTGCAATCTGCTCCTTGAGAACAATGTCCCTTTCTATGGTAGAACTTGCAGGGGAAGGACTGTGCGTCTCAGTCAAGGAAATATTGGATACTCAACAGCTTCCAGTTTCTGACAAGATACTCATCACAATAATGAGTTTATGTTCGGAAGATATGCAGGTTATTGCTGTTGAACCAAAAGGATATTGTGCATAAATGGGCAGCTCGCCCCTTTTGAACAGAATCCCTGGATGTAGAATTTGCACACTTCTTTGACGAGATCGTTGTAACCCTGAACATGTTCCAGTTGGCAGTCGTCACCCTGCGTACAGGAAAGGGAAGAAAGCAATGTTATAAAAGGCCAGAATAATAAGAATAATAATACATTTTTCTATCCTACAAGTTGTTCTGTCTGACTTGAATACATTTTATTAATATACACAATAAACATAATCTACCTTGATGCACCTCCCCCAAAGGAAATGTCGACAAAGTAACCGCCCATCATCTGACAAAGTATTCTGGTCCTTGAACTCCTGTGTCATGAACCTTGGACGTTCCACTCGGAAGTCCTAAGAGGAAAGATGAGCATAACAATGAGATTCACAAACATTTTGATTGATGATTAACACATTTCTATAGAAACTTTTTTTTTTTTGTCATTATTGGTGGCATTTCAAGCTTTAATGTAAGTAGTTACTTTAATTACTTAAAGTTGATGGACTGATTTGTGTCTAGGGATACCAAGTTGATGCCAAAGTTCTGAAAATGTGACGGTACTCGTGCTTCTCTGTAGGTACCGGGGCCCTGACGGGGCACCTCCAGCACGGTCTAGTAACTGTCAAACACGCTCTGTAGAAAAACAGAGACACTCTCTAGTGCAGATACGGTGGATATTTTACAAGCACAGACCAGGTAACGCAAGCGTGAACACATCAGAGTAGGGGGGTTTGGGTTTGTTGGTGTGGAAAAGAGTACTAAAAGGAAAAAGCAAGGTGAGCAGATTAAAACAGTTTGTGGGTTAAGTAGTGAATTGATTTAGTAAGAAGACATCTATAAGAAAAGGGGCCACTGTTGTTATTTTTGTAATGTTCAAATGTTTTTAATAAAAGGAGTGTATGTACATGGGATTTATTGGGGTTTTTTGTTTTTTACCTTATAATTTGACCTATAATTTCACTATAGTATTGGAATTGACTAATAATTTCCTGGTACTGTGACATGCCTATTTGTGTCTTTGTGAAAATAATACATGTAGAAATGACAGCCACGAAATAATTCAATGTTCAATTCAATTTTATTTGTATAGCGTCAATTCATAACAGAAGTTATCTCAGGACACTTTTCAGATAGAGCAGGTCTAGACCGAACTCCTTATAAATGGGTCTGCTCCATCTCCAACACTCACATGGAGCAGGCTGGACTATGGCTTTAGGAAATTAACCTCTAGTTATATAATTCAGACATGCCTTCAACTACAACAACAACAATAGATTTTCACAGTTAGTTTGTGTTGCAACAGACAGAGAGATGGAAAGATTTGTTGGTTGTTTTATTTTCAAGATAACTGAGACGCTCTCTTTTTTTCTTATCAAGGGCTCAGGTTAATGTGACTTTATCTGCTTTTGCATCATTAAAAAAAATCTAAATTGTGAACCAGAAAAGTATTCCAAAATGCCATTTTTTGCTACCTCATAGAGGTGGGCGATATATATCGTTTGCGATAATATCGTCATTGTTGTTTTGACGACGTGCAAATTTCTATTATCGAGTATTTAAATTACTTAAATTACTACAAAAATATTGAAACGCACGCGGAAACTCCTCACATCCACTTAAAGGGGAACTTCGGCAGATTTTTACCCTAGTCTTGATTACCAGAGGTCACCAAGTACTGTCGATAGGAAAAAGAACGACCAGAATTGGTTCTAGCAAACTGGAGATCCTGCAGCTAATGGCCAGAGCTCCCAGTTAGTTATAATACACTTCTTGGGGGCATATCCTAAAGAGTGCCTTTTGCTCCTCTTAACAGACACAAAATGCAATTAAAATGTCTGTGCAACATGATCAGGGCCCTTACGTGACAACAACATGCCTTTTCAACTCATACGTTGTGCAGAAACCGTACAAAACAGTACTGTCCCCTTTAATACACGGTGCAGCAACGCTCTCTACAGCATGGCAGGATTCAGTCACACAACTAGTGGGCCTACGTGATCACATGACGTGATCACATGACCTCTCGCTAGCATCCTCCTTGCAACAGTTTAGCAGCGCGTTGTGATGGTAGAGACAAAATGCAAGCACCTCCAGTCCCTGAAGCTACCGATACTTCAGATGATTTAGTGCCGAGACGTGGGTCTACCTCTCTGGCATGGAAACGGTTTGGTTTCAAAAAGACTTTTTTAGCGCAGCGCCCAGAGCGCTTCAAGTGGAAACCTGTTCAACTTTTAACACCGCTGGGCGCTCGGAAAATGTGTTTTTGAGCACTCTCAGCGCTAAAAACGCGTTTGGTGGACACAAGCCCTAACTCAGACAATTCCAATCACATTTTAAAGGATATCGACTGATTATCGTTATCGCCAAAACCCCAAAAAATAACAAGATATTATTTTTTGCCCATACCGCCCACCCCTAGTACCTCACTAGCAATTTCAAGTGCGTCTGTCTGTCCGATCATTTTCCAGGACACGGCTGGTATGACAGACGGGGATCGCAGCATACACTAATATATGGAAACTTAAACTTGCACTGTTTTCCTGACATTTTGTCACTCACACCTGTAATTAAAGAATAGTGTTTAAGAAACATGTCAGTATACAGACATAACCTTTAAATGTTTAAATGTCACTGCTTTTGTTTTAATGCTCTCTTTTAATATTGTTACTATGTATGCATATCCATCAATCCATCATTGTGTTTTATTTGTTTCTGATGGAAGGCAAGTTGTAGACAAATTATTTTTTATGTATAACCTGAATCCATTTTTAAGCAGTGTATGAACCATTGCTGCCTGAACAGCAATGACAAAACTGTCAACAAAGTCCAACACACATTTGAAACCACTGCTCTTAGCCATAACTGAATCACAAACTTTGTATGCAACAAGCATGTCCACTTTAGTAACTGAACCAAACATGCTAACACTATTGAACCTTTTAAAACAAGTCGGAAAGAAAGCAAGATTAATATATAGAAATTAATAAAATAACTACCATGGTTACCAGCCAGCAATGACTAATTTGAACAATAATGTAACCTAACCCCATCCAACCTGCAGGTGCTACCATGTGACGTGACCTTGCGATGTATTCACAGCTTAACTACCCTCGGCTATAAACTACCATTTGAACATTAATATAATCCTGAACATAACTTTGCCCTTACAGTTGGCAATGTAATCCGTTTTGGGGAAGTCTGAAAGGCTGTCTATCATTCTCAGCTAAAAGAAAATAGGAGAATGTTAGATTTTTCAGGCCTTTTTTCTGGAAAATTGCTGGACTGTTTTCCAGATTTTTTTGATTTATTTTGAGAGAATACAGTTGATAGGTAACATGGAACATAGGGCACCGCCACTACCTTTTCTGGCCCCGTTTTTCTTAGACATTCAACATGACTGATCCGGATGCCTCTTCTGCCACAGCAGCAGGTGAGAATCACTCAAACCGTGACAGATAACAGACTGATGATGGATGATGTCTGCCCTGACAGGCAAAGCCAAGTGTCTGACCTACCCGATTATCATCTCCATGTCTCCTGTTCCCTCCTCTGTCTCTCGAAGTGCGTCTACTCGGATGGCTTCCACCTCTATAGGCAGGTCTCCCTCTGTTCGTCAGTTGATGCTGAAACCTGTTATTGTAGCCAGCGTGAACACTGCTGCCACCGTCTCTGTTGAAGCCAACACTTGCATGTTCACTAGAAGTGTTATGCCTATGGTGGTTGGAGTCAACCGGTGAGGCATAAGTCCTGGTTGTCTGGACTTTGTGACATTGCTTCTGTGGAAAGAAACGTAAAGAAGTTAAATGTGGAGGGAATGTAGATGTTTTCAAGTCCATAAATACAAATTCATTTTATGCAAACAAGCAGCATACTCCATATAACTTCAATCACACTCAGTTGCAGTTATACAAAGATAAAATGGAGTCTATTACAACATTACTGCAATAAAAGGCTTTTAGAGAGGTACCAATGAAACTAATGGTTATTTTGAAGGCTGTGGTTTGTAGGGCTATTGTATTGTACAGCATTGTGTTATACTGAGAGGTGTCCAATTTATATTAATGACAGTAATTAAAGTTGTGTGCAGTATCAGACTATTTAAACCATATTTACTTAATAGTAGTTTATGAGATTTTCCTCATCTTCATTATTAGACTAATGAAACATTGATTTTATGATAGGATTGTTTTTCCTATCCTATCATTGTTTTTTGTTTTCTTCAAGATTATGGTGGGGGTGCCTGGTTAGCTCAGTCGGTAGAGCTGGCGGCCCAGGTTCGAATCTGACCCGCGGCCCTTTGCTGCATGTCATCCCCTCTCTTTCTACCCACCAGTTAAAGCCAATAAAAGGCCACAAAAAAAAGATTACGGTGACTTTTATAGTTCAGATATGAATGGATATAGCACCCTATCCCCTATTTGAACTTCTCTTGATAACATTTTTTACAAAGACAAAAAGGTCCATGACCAAACCGCTCTCTAATAAACAGTGCAGCAATTCTTGTCTGAATTTTCCTGTGCATCTACTAGGTGTGCATTAGACAACACTGACTAACAAATAAAACACTGAACTTACAACCAAGGTTATTATAGTCAACTACAGCTAGTGTACTTACAGAACAAACTGAGAAAAAATACAAATATACAGGAAATGTCTTTAGTTTAATTCTTTGTCAATTTGGTCAGATTTGTCAACACAACAAGCATGAGGAGGCATTGGTGCATATGTGTCTACATGACCGTGAGTCATGTGTTTGTATTGTTAATACCTAGAACTTTCTATCCAATGTTAGTGTCCAAAAGAGATTCACTATTAAATGTGACAGCTGATAAATCACAAAGTGCCCAGAGACACGCAAAGTTCAAGTTCAACTCACCTTATTATGAGGGCCAGTCTGCCCCCCCTTGGTCCTCCTCTTTCTTGCACAGCCTCTTTCACCACGCTCAGTCTCGTTCCTATAAAACAGAGTAACGATGTAACGTTGACGTTAAGTAACATGAAAGCCATTAACACAGAACTGCTCCTTCAAACACATTTAATCTATCGTTAAATACCTGTGTGTAAAGGCTTGTTGACCAGGGCTCTTCACACCTTCTTCGACAGCAGACAGTCTCGTAAACAGATTCGCGAAAGCCATTTCAGTTCACTGGTCGTTAGTTATTCTTACTCGTTGTGGAAAGACTCGTAGCCGAGGATGAGTTGAGTTGTTGTTATGGATACGTCCATGCTTCTAGTGCTGGAACTTCCTAACGTCACTCCGTCGTTTACCTCTTCTTCCGCGTTTCAGACAAACGTCACCTCCCTGGACTCTACCATATATGGACAGATGGGGAGGGGGGATCCTGACACCTGGCGCCACCTAGTGGTGACGTTTTGTATTGTCTAGTAAACCGGTACATAATTATATACAGCTTCTCTTAAACCTGACAGAAACTCACATTGGTTATCACAAGTACACACCTTGTTGCTGTTTTTCTGAAATAAAGGGTTCATTTGCACTGATTGATTTGTTTTATTTTTTACTCAAGTCTTTAGGGATTCAGTTGCAGCTCGGGCTGATATAGGGACTTCAATAAGATTATCTCTAATAGCAAAGAGATGTGTGCGCCGGTACTCTTCTACAAGGCCGATAGACCTTTTCTACTGCAGCCATTTTGACATGAAGTAGTAGGGTGCACACAGGTGTTACTAATGACACTAATTAAGGTTCAATTCCATTCTTGTCAAACAGAGTCAGATTGCTGCTAATGTGCATGTTGCCTCACTGAAAAGGCTCTGCAACACTAAGTGGAATTTAGCTACCTTGAAAAACGGTATATTACAGCTCAAATTTGAACAATCTGTCAGTTACAAGCCTTCATGGAAGACGTTTTGAAATGTAACGGTAGGAAAAGGTGTAAATAATAAAATAATAATGGCTGAATTCCATTTAGCTGCTGCAGTTTCAGGGTCCTGGTATTGTACGTATTATACAAATATTATACAAATGGAAAGAGACTCATCCAAACTTTACCCACTTTAATAATGGCTTTAATTACATATTAAATGTGTATTCACTAAACAAAAACACTAAGAAACTCCACTGATGAGTATGTTCATAGCCAATGACTCTTTTCTGTTTATTGACATTTTTTATTGTAAAATCAGTCTTTCTACGAACCAGTGGTACATGTGATGACTGATGTTTTGTAAGTGACTTGCTCATGTTTCTCTTCTTAAATACCCACTCGCTTCTTTAGCCCATCAGAGCCAAGTTTACTTACGTAAAATACATTTGTTTGGATTTTAAAAAATGCTCTGTGTTGTCCCATGATTTGTTGGATTATAATTATCTTCATTTGTCATGTGTTGCCCTGTGATGAAACACCTTAAAACCTGGAGACACTAGGACAAGGTTCTAGTCAGTGCCATATTAGACTGTGGTCTACTAACACACAACAAAGTCTTCCATTCAGATGCTTCAGCAAATGCATACAAAGCTGGACCATCTAAATGTGGCAATTCATTTAAGATAAGAAAAATAAATGTTAGAAACACACTTTTGGATGCCCACACACACACATACACACACACACACACACACACACACACACACACACACACACACACACACACACACAAACACACAACCAAAATACCTTAATAATATGCAGTTGTTCCCTAAAAAATGAACTGTTATGAGCTAGTTTGGAGGTTTCAGTTGTAAATTCTACCAGATGTGGGAGATAATTACTGTATGATATTAGTATTTTTATTAATTTGCTGATATATAGAAACTAGGCCCAGCAGTGCACAGAGGTGATGCTATTTCATTCTACAGCAAATTGACTCTATCCAGTTTGCTACTGTGTGTTACTGTTGAGGGAGATCAACTCTTAAATTAATGGGATTAAAATGTAATTGAATCTCCTGAGCTGTATGATCAACAAGCACACTCATCAATCAGCAAAGACTGATAAAAGCTCAGACATGTTAAAAAAAGATGAGATAGAAGCTGGACTTTGTTCCTCCACATATGAGGCCGTCCCTGCGTCTGGCTCAAAGTTCAGGTCACGCAGACAGTTTCAGTATTGCCTCTGTGACTGTGTTCGTGTTTCCCCTCAGTCTCTGAACTCTAATTCTATTCATAGTGAGCTACAGGATGATCCGTTGGACCCTTCTTGCTCCTGTCCTGCTCCTGCTGGGCCTGTTCATCCACAGTGCTCTGAGTCAAGAGGCTGAGGACCCAGCAGCAGCACCACCACCACCGGGCCAGGCCACTGATGGCACGCAGGCGGAGGCCGAGAACGAGGACTGGGGATTAAACTCCCTCAGAGGCAGCTTTGAGTCAGTCGGCGGCTACTTTGACTCTGTGCTGGAGTTCATGGGCGGACGTGATGGAGTGTGCCAATACCGCTGTCGATATGGTAAGTCAGATAAATGGATGAGTAAGCATTACACTGTATGGTTAGTATGGTTTAGGGTTAGAATAATGCTAATATGGACCTTTTATCAGCCAGTGTGGTCCACACCATGGATGTATCTTTCTGGTTCTTCTTTTTGGCAAAATATTTTGGAATTTAATCTTGACTGAAAGGAGGAAATGTATTACAGTTTCACAGTTTCCCCTCAACATTGATTACATGTGGTGTGAAAATCTGCTCATGCTGGAAAGCCACATGAAATTATATCCAGATTTAGAATTAAGGAAAATTCCTGTTTGAATTTGATTTAGAATAGATAAATAATTATCTTATATTCACATTTTAAACACACTCCTTTGATTTTTGTTTAAGCAATGTTGTTTAAATTAGCGGCATTATTACTGTTAAAAATATATATACTCAATGGATAATACATTCATATCATATCATAAATGTAAGTAGCTGCGGTCTGGAAATTGCCTGTATGAACTAACAATGCAACATTAAAAAACCCAACAACAAGAATGTGCTGATACTTAAAACTTAATAGGATTGACAACTTCTTATACTTATCATCTTTGTTATCATCTGGGAGAGGGCCTGGAAATGGACTGTGACCCCAGCATGATAGGAGAGGTTTCATGTGGTGACTGGGGAATGTGCCTAATGTCATGTGAATGGATATGAACCAAATACGTAACCTCTGTGTCTCTATGTGCAAACCGTGCAAACACTTCTGACACATTTCCACTGGTCCGTTGTGAAACATGACATCTGATATTTTGCTTTGCTTCCCCTCCTCTCAGGTAAGGCTCCTCTTCCTCGTCCTGGCTACGAGATGCCACAACCTAATGGGTGTAGCTCCTACTTCTTTGGTCTTCCTGTTCCAGAAGGGGTATGCATCTTCTGTCTGTTCAGGGCAAATTCATTTTGATTTATGTAACATGGAAATGTAATCGATAGTCATATAAAAAAGCCAAATCTAAGGGACTGTACAAAAATGAGGGAAAAAGTGGGCAAAAATGTGTGTTTGACTTTTCAAATACATTTTAAAAATTGCAACCCACTAACCCTGACCCTGACCCTAATATCTGAATTTAGCCCAGCTTTCAAGCTAAACAGATTAATGGAACAATATTTTGTACCTTACCAAAACTGCACATAAGAAGTGCAAACAACTGCCAAAATTGTGGTAAACTTAACAAATGGTGCATGTTGTTTAATCGAACATTTCAGTGGCTATTTTTGAACAAAGAGCAAGTAAATGATCCATTATTACTGACACTGAATAGGTGCACAGGGGCAAAGTTAAGGCGACTGCTAGTTAGTGAAATAATGGTCTGCACCTTAGAAATAATGTTCAATCCCGACTATTACAATCTATGTCTACTGTTGCTGAAAACTGACATTATGGATCCACTAGGTAACTATATAATCAAGTCCCAATACAAATACACACCTCTGGAAAACCTTTATGGACCATGGTGCAAACAAATGGCATTTTGACCATAACTATTTTGAAGTCATTTTTTTCTATTGGTTGTCACAGTAAATGATGAAATAAAAATAAGTCTGGGGAAAATAAATCCATAAAGACTCTGATCCCCTTTTCTGACCCAACCTTCAAATCATTTTTATAGTCTCTAAATGTCCAGAGAACTGAACATACATATGGTTAAATAATGGAGTCAGTTTTTAGTGTTAAGCAAAACTAACCCCCTGTGAACCCCCCCACACTTGCGTACAAACACATTAATCACCTGTGTTGTGTTCCAGATGGACATGGGCATCCCTGCCATGACCAAATGTTGCAATCAGCTGGACATGTGTTACGACACCTGCGGCTCCAACAAGTACCGCTGCGACTCCAAGTTCCGCTGGTGCCTCCACAGCATCTGCTCTGACCTCAAGAAGAGCCTTGGCTTTGTGTCAAAAGTAGAAGGTCGGTAACCTTTTAACCTTTCAGAAAACCTGCTCCTCCATGAAGTTTAAAGTCTGTGTAAAGGAAATTCAGTGATTTCTCTTTAAACACATTATATGTGTCATAAAATAGTTGTTGAAAACATTATAAGGCTGGGAACTAGGTGGTACTGAATTGTGGAGTTTCAATGTTTTTTTCTTTTTTACCAGTTTTGGTTTCAGTATTTTTGGGGCGGGGCTAAAAGTATGGCTCGATGACGCACTGGAGCCACCTGCGCAGTATAAAAGCATACTGCGCGCTAACACTGGTGGTCTCGCACTCATTATTGAGTCATTACAACCGTTTCATGTTATTAGCCACAGCCATTGCTAGCTAGCTTAAGTATGACATTAACATTACAATTGAAGGCTTAAGGTTATATATAAAGCTTAAGATCCAAACTTCCCCTAAGACGTGTCCTAATACAAATCCATAAAACCTGTAAAGCACTAATTCAATTAAATGAACTGTTGGATGAGTAAATGACATTTCCAACACAATGACCTTCTTTTGTACAAAGTGCTCTGAGCTGAATGTTTGTTTCTCTGTCACTTCCTGTCCTCAGCATGTGAAACGGTAGCAGACACCTTGTTCAACACGGTGTGGACTCTGGGCTGCAGGCCCTACATGAACAGCCAGAGAGCAGCTTGCTACTGTCAAGGAGAGGAGAGAGATGAACTTTAGATTAAGACATGAACCACTCTTCTATTTATAACAGTACCAACTAGAGCAACATATCAGATGATGGTGCTCTGAGTTACGGTGTTGCAAAGACTGCGGTGTGACTACTTGAGTAATTTATTTGGAAGCTCTTCTTCTGGTATTGTTCATAAAGTCATTATTTTACTTTGCAACTAAATCTTAATGCTAAATGAACTGTTAAATTGTTTAAGCTGCAAGCCAAAACTGTATTTGTTTGTCTGTCGAAGTGCATAAATGCTGTCTGTAGTGCCGATATTAGCCCCAATGGTTAGCATTGGTTATGTGATTTGGAAAAGGAAACATATCTGTGGTGTGAACTCCACTATACAATGCATAGATAGCCTCATGTGTTTCAGACTTAGAGTGTGTTATCATGTCATACTAAGGATAGTCTACCGTATGAATAAATGTTATTGATACACATAAATGTAATTGTTTGATTTCATGGTATACTAAAGCAGGATTCATTACCCAGAAGTCCTCAGATCAGTACACTCTATTAGACAATCCACTTTTTATGAGTACCTGGTTTTGGTTTAAAAAATGTGAGACAAACTTCTGATATTTATTTTTGTTTAAGTTTAATTAATTTAATAAGCAGCTATTGAGGCATCTAAATAATCAAACTGAAAGTGTGTGGGAATCTGAGCTACTGCCCTAATAGAGCCAAAACATTCCAGGGTCTTATATTCACTAACATTGTAAGAGATTGGTAAATTCAGATTGCAAAAGCACAAAGGAACAAACAAATGCAGTAAAAATGGTAAAAATCATTTTCAGTCAGTTAGGAGGATATTAAGCCAGGGGACACAGAAAACCTTCCCATTTCTTCTTCTTCTACTTCTTTGACAAAACATGACACCTAGTAGCAGCTAATGTAGCTCAACATATGCAGTAGTAGCAGACTGACGTATAAAACAAGTTATGCCTCAAACCTTGTTGTTTGTGTCAACAGCATACACATTTGTATTTTATCAAAGGTTTCATTATTCAGTATGGGAAGGACCGTGTGAATGCAAAATACCAGGACCTGACCATTTTTACAGCCTTAACCCTTTATGACTAATATATATATATATATATATATATATATTTCATCAACAAATTAAGACAGAGCCTACAAAACATATTTTGCTTAATCAAATTTATAGAGTATCAAGAGAAAATAGGAAGAATAGAAACAGTTACAAAGTTAGTGATATTCACAGAAAAAAACGGTTTTAACACATATTGGCAATTCATTGCACGACAATATTCTTTTGTAAAAGATTTACTTGTTAGAGTTCGAGGAGTGATTCAGTACAAATCTGGAAATGTGACTAAAATACTAAATGGTCCTGTTACACTATGAACCATATATGTAAATAATGAATGTTAAACACGATGTCCACATGGGCTCACAGCAGCTTCAAATTAAAGACACTCATGGCCCTCCACAGATCTATGGAAAAATGAGAAAAAACTGATAAATGTGACAGACCAAATGGAGGTTACTCACTGCTGCTTACAAATGTAAATTTAAAAATCATACAGTTCATAGGGAGTTTAATTCAAAAACACCATGTATTTAAGATATTTTAATTTTATCATCAAGATTTCAGGACGGAAGAGAAAGATATTCTGTGAGGTTTTGTTGATTGGAATTTGTTTTTACCTCTAAAATGTAAAGTAAACCTAATGCTGGTAAGTAAGTAAGTACACCAGTGGAAAATAAACAAGCTGCTATGCTCACAATACAGAAACCGTGACAAGCCAGAACATTTATCAAGTTTCCAATTCTTCAAAGACACATGCTTTCAAAATTCAATGTTCTGACACTTAAAGTTTACTTACTTTAATCAGTCTGAGAGGTTACAGAGTCGGCTGGGTGGGTCCGTTTTTGCTTTGCGTTCTGGTTAAATGCTTCAAGCTAGAAAAAATAAAAGTGGATCAAGAAGACAGAAAATCTCCAGACGGTGCGTTTTATAATTATATATAGGCTTAAAAGAAAGCACTCAGAGCATAGCAAGTTCAATATTGTCACTAAAAATATGTTCTAATTCAAAATATCAATTTTTTTTTAAGTTACACTGTTAAGTGACTCACATAAACTAAACAATAAATGCCAATTCAGCTACATGAGCCCTATCCATCGTGTATATTGCACACAAAGAGGATGGATTTTTATTTTCCACAGTTTAGTTCAACTACGCCTACCTTTAACTTATGTAGCCTATCCTTACAGGTGGGGAACATTTACCATTTCTGTAATGTCTATGTTGGGAAATACAACAACAAAAAACAGTCTGAACAAATAATGAATGATTAAATGAATAAACCCAAGTAGGGCTTTAACTAACTAATATTTTCATTATCGATTCATCTTTCGATAATTTCCGAAATGTCAGAAAGTGGTGAAGAACCAGCACTGTTTCCAAAAGCCCAAGTTGAAGTTGAAATGTCTTTTGTTCACACAACAAAGATATTCAGTTTACTGTGATAGACTAAAGCAACCAGAAATGATATTATAGTTTACTCAAAACATATAATACATTATTGAAATAGTTGCCAGTTAATTTAATAGTTCACAACTAATTGATTAAATCTGACTAATGGTTGCAGCTCTAATGCAGCTTGTATTTCCATAAAATGAGACTGGGAAGGTCGGAAAATGAATGAATCTGTTTTATCTGAGAGACTTATTATGGGAGAACTTACTGAAATGTTCCCTAACAAATAATTCATTGTTTTTTCAAGCTACAGGTTGGTGACAAATTCAAGGAAAAATTGCTAATAATTGATTCAAGAAACATAACAAATGCTAAAACCAACACTCCACCAACCTTTTTACGCAGGTTCGCCTTTATTTCCTCCTCTGTTGGCGGCTGTTTTTCCTCGCCTGACTCCTCGCCTGACTCCTCGCCTGACTCCACTGGCTCCTCGGCTCCGGCGACAGCTTTGGAGACGGCTTCTCTGACCTGTGAAGCCTCTCGCTTCGCCGCAGAAGCTGTGGCAAGGCGAGATGCTTCACTGACCTGTGAAGCCGTCTCCAAAGCTGCCTCTCGCTTGAGTCTTGCCTTTCGTTGTCGCCGCAAACGTAAACGACGATTCTTCTTCCAAATTTGGAACTTTGACCGTTGCCTCAAGCTTTTTGTGAGTTCCTTTAAACAGCTCTTAGTGGTTGGCTGCTGAGTGCTGATGACCTGCAGGCAGCGAGGGCCAGAGGTGTATCCAGTTTGGCCTTCACTTTTAGACAGATCTGGATTCACTAATAAGTCAAGGTTTTTTCCACGTATATGATTCCACTGCCTGCACCTCTGAGTGGTTGGCTGCTTCGTGGCGATGACCTGCAGGCAGCGCGGCCCAGAAAACGAGCCAATCTGGCCTTCACTTGAAGACAGATCTGGGTTCACTAAAAAGTTCATGTCTTGAAGATTATTGGGATGAGGGTAAACCATGTTAGTTGCCACTGCAGAGCCAGGAAAGTGATGGTAGGCATTCGGTGGGTAAGGATGCCTGCTGGGATAAAGGGAGGGAGGAAAGGCACCCTGAGTATTTGTCCAGTGAGAATTTGTAGCAGCACTGTAGGTGCCACTGTGCGGGGCATTGTTCCGGGAGTACTGGGACAAACTGTCGTGTTGTATTGCAATGCACGATTGGTTTTGTGGATGTTGATAAGTGGCAGTTTCTTCTGAGTTTATTCCGTCTCTGTGCCTCTCTGCTTCTTCTCTTCCTTGGCATGTCAGTCCATCTCCGCTCCTGTCTCTCGAGCTACTGTGTTCAGGCGCTCCCTTCGAGTCTCTGCTGTGGGAGGGGCCGGTACTAGCGCTTCTAGAGGTCGACCTCGAGTAGGAGGAAGGGGATTTCCTGTACTGTCTTTGGGAGCCTCTCCGCAGACACTCCTTCTCCCCTCTGCTATCCGCCCTTTTGCCCTCATGCTTCTTCCCATACAGCCTCTCCTGAGTCCGGTCTGCTAATTTGCACATCTCTTCCGCTTCCAGGCTGAACCCCAGAGTTTTAAGAATGTTCTGGAGCTGTACACTTTGTTCATCCACCTTTGGTTTTTCTTCTTCTTCTTCATCTTCATCCTTCTTCTCCTTCACTGCCGGGGGAGACTTGGATTGACTACTAGATCCAAAACAGAGGCCTGCTCCGTCATTCTTCTTCTCATCATCAACAGATAAGTGATCACTGAGGGATCTCTCTTGACGATCTCTCTTGGGCGGGTCGGTCCTCCTCTCTCCACTGTTAGTCCGACTCCGGCCTAGCAGCGAGGCCCCGCTGTTGGATCGCTGGCTCTCGCTCCTGAAGGGCAGATCTGGCTTGTTCTCTATGGCAGGGGGCTGAACGTCCAGGAGCTCCTTACCTAAAGGGAGATCCTCACTGTCATCGTTGACGATCCTACTGAGCAAGTCCATGTCCACTCCTTTGTTGAGCACGCTGAGGAAGCGCTGGAAACCCTGGTTGGCGTTACTCTCCTCCTTGGCTGGTGAAGTAAAGCTTTGGCTGCTGTTGTGCTGTCCAGGGTGTACAGTGTCTCTCAACCCGTGCATGCTGGGAAAGGTTTCAGCCCCCAGTGCAGCCTATGCGGGTAGAGAACAAAGATGGATGAATGGGTACATTTGATGATTATTAGTTTGTAAGTTAAATTGTATTCAACTTTAAGATGAAACACTCCTTTAATGTATGATTGTGTGTTTTCTCTTATTCAGCTTTTGTATAGTAAATTTTGTACGTTTTATTTATATGTTTACTAAATATAATGTCAATGAGATGGCTATACAATATTACAAACCTCCCTGTTTGTTGGTAAAACACAGAGATTACTACATCTCTGCTTCCTCAGCGCATTCACTCTGAGCTTCAGGGGATGGTCTTCCTGCAGCAAGACGTCCTTGCTCCGGCTGGAAGAGTTCATTCTGTCTGTGGAAGAACGGACCTGAGCAGCAAGAGAGGAGGCAGTACAGTATACAGCATAAAGGCCTCTGCAAGCTGAAAAGAACTGTATTGATTATCGGATATGAATTAATCTCTTACTCACCATTGACAGAAAGCTGACAGAATGCCGTTGCTGCAAAATTGAATTCACCCTGTCTTTAAGACTTGCACTGGCGCATGTAGCTGCCTGTTCTTTAGAGGAAAAGCCCAGAGGTGTGGCCTCCTTCCCAAACGGTTCAACCTTTTTCAGAGCAATAGCAACTTTCTTTCGGAGTATCTTCTCCTCTATCTCTCTAAGTTCTATCCACTTTCTTTTCAGCTCTGGATCCTCCTCGTCCATTTCAAACGGTTCTCCGTCTGGGTCCTCCACTTCTGGCTCCTTAATGTAAAAGTTGTGAGAGGGATGACAGAGCTCCTCTGATCCCAAATGCACCCCGATGCTGCTTTGTGGTTCATCAACAGTGTATGTTGAGTGCTGGCAGTAAGTGTCCCAGCCATTATCACTTCCTGGGGCATTGTGCATGCTGCTGTTAACAACAGTCTGGGGATTTGGGGTCCAGATTTGTCTGCAGTCTTTGAATAGCTTCCCAGTTAAGTGGATTCATCCTGCAGTCAGTCTCTGTTGCACAATGTGGACAAATGACTGAGGGTTCATAGCACAGACTTCTGACAGTGACCTCCTCCTCACTTCATAGAAACTGTCCTTTTCGACAAGTGACTGTCACCGTCAATGTTTTGGAAGCAAAGACATTAACTTAGCTTAAATATTGATTGCTTTTGTGGTAAGACAAATCCTAGTGCTCAACAAACCCAGGCTCTGTGACACTATAACCTGCTGCAATATAAGTTATAAGTTGGCAAATTAAGGGCCGAACAAACAACAAAACCTAATCTTGCTTTTTGTGATAGCTTGAGGTTAGCTTGATAGCTAACAGTGTTTACCTGCTGCTCAAATGACCTCTTCCTCTGTCGCATCGCGGGAAAAATATTTGTTTAAAGGCCGTTACTCCGAAAACTAGGCTATTGGAGAATGAACAGTCAAAGGTGAGCTTTAAAAGGGTTCAGCAGCAGGAAAGGACAACCTTTAACGTCAGACAAAATAGTAACTAAATAAGTGGGGCCAAGACTGCTCTCACTGCCTCGGTAGTGTTTAAAATGGCTATCATTAACAGCGCCACCTGCTGGATGGAGTACCGACACTGCACGATAAACATATATACATTACATGATGATATACTTTAGTATGTCCTCTTCCTGTGCACATGGGACAGGAGACTGGTGCAACTGGAGGCTGATGGGTCCACAGAGTGGTTCCTTATTCATTGTGTCGGTACCCGATTACATCTACTAAGATCACATCTTCACCAGTCAGTTGTTAAGTTTCAAGCTTTTGAAGAGTGTTTATTTAGTTTATTCTTCTTCTCCTGGTGCCCTGCAGTTCCATGTGAATTCTTATAACTCCATGGATTATCTGTGCTTTGTCCTTACTGTGCCTTTGCTTAACCTCCTCTATATATCCTGTACATAGGTATGGCTCTCGAGGATTTCTTCCGGAGTTTCTGAGCATTTTAGTATCTGTCAAGTAAAAATAAAAATAATCCATGTCCACAATACAAACAATGTAAATCAGTGGTTTTTAAACTGGGGGTCCTTGGAGGAATAGTATATTTTAACTTTTTTTTTATTGTTTTGTTAATAAGGTTGGCCGTTTTGATTGACTGTAGTGTAAGAAGACTGTATCTTCAAACTGAAAAATAAAAAAGTACCCAGAGGGAAATCCTTAAGACAAAGTCCTCTCAAACTGGGGGTCCGGGCTCTAATGTACATCTATTTTGGGGGCCCTTGACATGGAAAAGTTGGACACCTGTGCTAAATAATTAACCAAAATACCAATAGTTAGTAATGTCAGAAATAATTAGTCCTAATGTAATATCAACTTTTGTGTGCAGAAGCAAACACACAGCATACATATGCACGCACTGGCAGTTAGTTAGATTCTATATCTTAGTCAAGGTCACTACAGCTGCACAGATGTTAGACGGTGTAGTGAAACAATCCCAGGCCTACTACTTCCATACTGTATATACACGGGTTCATGACAACAAGTGAGTGTAATGTGCAACCTGCCAAAGAAGACTCCTGTAGATGACAGTCGCATCAAATTTCCTCCAACAGTCAATGTGCAATTAAACAGCTCTTCACCATTTATTTCAAATCACTGTAATATTATGCAATTCAAATATTTACACACTTTTCTGCGTACGTGAGTACACAAAAAGAAAACATGTCATCAGACAAACAGACGCTTCAGTGTAGAGCACGTTTTTGTTATAGTAGGTCGGCCAAAACCATCTGAAGACTAAACACTGGATTATGGTTCCATTTCATTAGAATAAAAGGCATTTAGCCTACAGAAAGACTTCTCTAGATAACGTTTCAACAAAACTTACAAAGTATCAAATCATGGTGTTTAAACTAATTTTGAATAACAAAATAAAGCAGACAAAGTTTTCAGAAATCAATAAACACTTTCTGTGTCAGTGGTTATTTTAGCATGGCATTGTGCTATGGGTAAATGAAGAAGCTCCAACACTACCTCGTGGTTTGTCAATTAAGTTGTGGTCAAAAACTGTTAGTGTCATTGTCTGTGTTTTCGTGGTTTTTGGCCTTCCATTTTGTTGATTTGGTTGATTACAAATGCTCAAAGTTGCTTTTCTTTTAGGTGACATTCAAATGTGTGTTTTGTGTTTAAAACAGGACCCCCTGAAGGCCCAACTGTTTTATTACTTTATGAATATCTCTTTATTATTCTCCAGAGGCATAAGAGACTTACTCAACTATATTGGTATGTTTAAAGGCAAATTTTCACCGTATGCAACTTCTCTGTAACGTCTTCATCCAGGCTGTTTGGTTTCAATGACCTGCAAACAGCGGGGCCTTGACACTGTTTTGGATTTTTGTGTGTTGTTCAGAGGCTGAATTGGCAGGTTCAAAAATGGCTGAGGATTACTGATGTGTTGTGGGAGTAGGTGCCTCGTCTGAGCCAGTACTGCTGGGAAAATGTTCAAAGGTGGGACACGGGGGTAAGGGAGGAAGGGAGGCAGGCCAGGCAAGAAAAGCCCGGGGGGCAAGTTAGGAGGCGGCGGTGGGTACGGCAGCGGTGAACAGTTTACTGGAGAGTACATCGGCATCACGGGTGTAGGAGATGGCTCTGACAAAGGGTATGTGGGGTTTTGAGAAAATGCTTGACATTCAGCAGTGCTTTCCCGGGAGTTGGTTTGACATTCCTCACGCTCCTGCAAATCGCTACTGCTCTTATTCTGGCTATATTCAACGGCTTGATGTACCTGTACTTGGTGTTCCCCTGTTAGATCCCTCTGAGCACTATAGTTGTCTTCTTTCACGTGATACTCTCGAGTTGACGGGCTAACACTAGACCTGCTTGATGATGATCTACTTTGCTGTCTTGGTGAAAACGCTCGCCTTGTGTCCCTTTCCCTGCTTACTCTACGATGGTGGCCCCCGTCACCGTCCTTCTTTCCGTATAACCGCTCCTGGATCCGGTGTGACATTTGGCCCAGTTCCTCAAACCCCAAATCTATGCCAATGGCCTGCAAAACATCCTGCATGTGCCTGTGCTTGTGCTCATCTTCAGGTGCCGGCGTGGTCTTTTCCACCACTGACGGAGACCCGGATCTACTGTTGGAGCTAAAGTAGCTTTGTTCTCCGTCACCCCTTTGCAGAGACTTCTCATTAGACAGAGATCGCCGCTTCGGACTGAAGGACCTGTGACGAGGCTGTGGAGAAGCCAGTCTCTGGGATCCTTCGCTCTCACTCCAGTGGCTGGCATTTTGGTGGCTTCCCCCTTTCCTCCCGGCACAAGTGGGAGACCACAGACGATCTGTAGCACTAATAAAAGAGGACGGAGAATGTGGCTGATCACCCCCTTTTGTAGAGGTCTGAGTCACTATTTTGGTGAGCGTGGCGACATTCACACCCCTGTTGAGCACGTCGAGGAAACGCTGAAAACCCTTGGTGGACTTCTGCTCAGGAACAGCAGCACTTTGGTTGTTGACGTCACTCTCGTAAGACTGTCGGGAAACACAGAACAAAAGCTGTTTATGTAACTTATCTGCAAATGTATTTGTGGTATGGAACAACCTGTGAGTGTTTCCGTTCTTGAGGATTTTGGGCTTACTTTGATTACCAGAGCTAAAAGAACACACACACACATATATTTTGTATAGTAATGTTTTTATGGAGACAGGAGTGTCAGTATGGATCTGTTGTAGCAGAATGAACACGTTACTGTATTCACCTCCATACTGAAACAAAAAACATTTTTGAGGTAAAAAACGCAGCATCTGCCAGCAACTCTCACTGATTAAAACAATAGTCCCTCAGTACATGTGAGACACACCCACCTGTCCGCTGGCATTCAATGGAAACCTTGCTCTATTTTGGCGATGATCCTCATTATCCGTGGAAGGGCTGTCATTCCTCGCTCTGGGTTTGGCATAAGTCTGTTCGATAAAGAGGAATATTTTATTACTACCTGAAAAATAAACACAGTCCTCACACTGTCGCTAACACACAACATTTATTCTGACTGACCTTTGTTGAGCAATCTTGTGATCGTGTCCTCTCCTGTGAGCGGTCCCGGCTCCACTCATGACCATCTCTCTCTTTGTAATATCCTGATGATCGTCTGCATGTTAAATCATCGTGTTGTTGCCTGTAGGTGAACTCTTCATTCCAATATCTGTGTCTGGAGTCTTGTGATGTTTTCCTGTATTTGAATTCTTCTTCTTCCTGTATTTGTGTATGTTTATAATCACTGGTTACGTGTGCGCGTGAAAAACTGTCTGGTGAATGCCTGCTTGCTTTATCCTCAGACACACGCCTGTATCTGTAATCATCTCCATCGCCCTCTGTAAACCTTCGCCTTTTCTTTTCAGAAACACTCCAATCAGGTGAGGACATGCGTCTCCTCACTGGGCTTTTTTGGCTCCTGTCTCTGTTCAACGAGTCTTTACTGTACAGCCTCATAGGGGAGTCACTGTACTCTCTACTTCTGCTCTTCCTCTCTGTGCTACTGGGGCCATCCCCACCGTATTTATAATGGGAATCCCTCGGTACATCTCTGTGAGGGTCATGTCTTTCTTCCCATCTGGCATCATAGCCGTCCCACTGCCTTGAACTTCTGTCACTGTACTGCCGACTGTGACTGTGCTCAGACCTGTTTGAGTACATTATCTCACAGCAGCACCAGCAGCTGAATGGACGTCAAAGGCTGCAGCAAAGAAAAAAAAGAAATCAGCTTTAAAATTATGAGGCAAAGAACTCAGAGAGATTGATAAGCCAAACTTCGATCACAGACAGGAAACAATCACTTATCTCACACTGACTTATTCATAAATAATAATGTTTGGTCTCTTATGAGCTCTAAAAGAATCATATATAATTCATGCATCCATTTTGAGTTCAGATTTTCTTAAGTAAAGGATAATAAAGGAAATTAGTGTGGCTGTGGGAGTAGTATGCGATCTTTCCATCAGACACAGGCCTTAGAGGACCCACAGTGTACAGTCCTTACACTTACAGCAGGGGATTGCTCTTCTACTGACTGCTTAGACTGAAACCTGCCTTGCACATGAAGGTGTCAGAAATACTTTAAAGCATGGGACAAAAGTAAAGTTACAGAGACGTAATATCGATGGCAGGTGCTGTGTGCTGTCATACGGACTCACAGAATTATTCAGTAAAACCAGCGGCTGTAGTAGTGAAAACCACCCGAGCTTCGAAGGAAAGGTTAGCCATGGATTCAGTATATTTCTGACCATTACTGGCGTATGCTAACATTAGCTGGCTAGCTAAACTAGCAGTTTGCTAGTAGGTTGGCTGCACACTAACGTTAGCATTGCAGAAAACATCAAGCGTTGGTTAGCTAGTTAGCTTCAGCTAACATGAAAACACCAAACGCACTATGTATTATCAGTCAGCGTCGTTTAAGTATTTCCAGGCAGCAGCGATAGTTGCATCAGTACTGACCCTTTGTGCCTGCTGTTAGCTCCGTTATAATGAAAGCTGGATTGCAGGAGGCAGTTTGTAGCTCAACAACTAGCCACATTAAACACAGCACTGGAGCAACCTAACGTTACGTTACCTGTTCCGTTGGACGACTCCACTTTCTTTAAAGGGGTGGGAGCAGGGACAGTGCTGAAACTAGGGTTGGGTATTTATCACGTTTATTAAAGTCCTAACAACAACAACAAACCGCAAGGCAGCTGGATAACATTTTTAACCAAGTTGTTCAGTGCCGCCTATCCAACCCTAACTGTTTGCTTTTCCACCTCCCCCAGTCAGTAACAAGGGATTTAAATTACCGCCACCTGCTGGATGGAGTGCGAACAACAACATGCTTCTGCGCCTTCTTCTTCTTCTTTGGTTGGCAAACCATTTTTTTTTAATATCATGGTTGTATAGCGCCACCCACTGGGCTGGAGTGCAGTAGATAAGAAAATGATGTAATGCTAAAGAGATTTGTTTTAACCTATGAAACCTCTCCAGTAGATGATTTACATTATTAAGACAATTATAATTACAAGTTTTCTAAAATATTATGTTTAAATGTCCAGTGTGTAGGATTTAATGGCATCTAGTGTTGTAAGAGCAGATCGCAACTCCCTCGCTTCACTCTCCATTATAGCATTTTTTTTGTTTTTCTGATATCTCTGGTTCACTCCTCCTCTTTAACACTCCATAGATCAGAATATACTTTCAACAGCCATAAAAAATACATTTGGGGATAAAATGTGATATAAATCAGGCTATGAATGTTATATGACTAAACCCCTCAGTAAACACCCTCAGAATAGAGGAATAAAACTGGAAGCTTTGGTGTATGTAAGTGCTAATGATGTGGAGATTTCTGACCCAGAGTATGACAACATTTTGGGTGTTTTCTTTCCACTAATCTGGAAAGAAAACTAACTCTGTGGTCTGATAGAGGCCTTGTTTGATATATTCTGTATATCTTCTGAAACAAATGTCCCTCACTGCTGCTGTCCTATGGTCTTTGCAGCTCTTCCATGATGGGACAGATTCAGGGTTGTACTCTAGTTGACATCATCACTGCAGGCTTCTGGACCGCTTTCTGGTTCAAGGAGATTTGCTCAAATTCAGACAGAGATGCACATCATCACAAATATAATGTGTAAGTGTAGGCCTTTTTATTTAAAGAAGACATCTTGACATGTCACAGGAGGAATTCAAAATAATTCAAACTCCATTTATTTTACTATTCACATCCAAGCAACACAGAGTGATGATGAAAATAAACCCTGGTCCAGTATGCAACTTATACAAGTGTGAAACTTGAAGCCACCAGTGCACAATGCAGTAGGAGACATTGTGTGTGAAATGAACACAATTTGCATATTCATAGATTTTTAATGATGTAGAAGTAGATTACTTTTTAAGGGTTTTAATATGGAAATTTTACTTGTTTTGTTTAAAAGGGTTAGCTCATTTAATGCCAAACACACTGAAACCCTGAAAGGAATTTAAAGATTTACACGCTCTGTTGAATCTCCCTTTTGGGGGGCTAGTAAGATCAAAAGGTGGTTTATTTTGAGCAGAGGGCTGAAACGGAGAGAAAAAGATGCACGTACACATTTGCATGAATTTGGATGCACTCTAACATTACTAATACCTACAGCCGCACCACTAGGATGGCCAGAAAGCTCACAACACACTCAGGACAGACTATGCACATTCTTTATTAGATCATTTCCTACAGGTAGCCATCAAATGACAACCCACATTTGCAACAACAAACAAAATGTTAAACAAAAATGGCGTACTCACAGTATTTGTGCAACTTCACACAGCTCTACATAGTCTACATCATTATACTCACTAATGAGGTGCAGCCATTGCTCCCTGGGTAATACAGATGATAAATATGCTCCAATCACATGTGCAGTTTAGACATTTAGTCTGTGTTAATGATGGAATGGTGTCAGGGATGTGTGTTGTGTGAATGAGGCGGAGGCCCCGAAAGACCAGGAACACAGACTTTTTGTCAGTCCCAGGGCCTTCTCCTGCAACTGTGCGAGCGCTAGGGATGTCCACCTGAGGGCGCTGTAACAGAGGACAGTTAAACACAGCACACATTATTTAGCTTTGCTGGGAACACACAGTACCTATCACACTTCCACACAGCGATATTTCTGTATTTGCATGTCAAGCATGAGTGAAGTGGCAGAAGCATAATAAGAGACATCAGACACCATCTCAACTTTCAAGTTCTCATAATGGTTTTTATCATTTCACTTCACTGCCTGACTGTAGGCAGGCTGTCGAGAACGTCGTCAAAGAATTGCTGGCTAATGCCAAAAACATTCTGGATGAGTGTTACAGGATCGATCAGGTCTCTCCAGATTGCAGCAGTAAAACTTTCTGACAGCTCTGACTGGTCTCAATATATTTGAAACCTCCATAACCTGCAGAGTCTGTTCACAGACAAATGCAAGACTCAATGGTCTTAAAAATCCTCATCAAACTGGGTTTGAATCAGATGTTATATTATGTAGTTTGTTCTTAAGTTCTGCATCTATTTACCAAGTGAAAATCGGAAAGACTGACTATCCGACTGCTGAGAACCCTTTACAGTACTTTTACACTAATTTCTACTGCCATGCATGTTCAGCACTATATTACTGTGCTCCCAAGTTGCAGTTCCAAGTTTAACACATTCACACACGATACAAAACCAGACACAGCCAAATAAAGCTCCTGAAGCCTCCCACCTCCTCACTGGTAGAACTTAATCTCTGTGTCCACGCAATCGAAAAACAAGTCGCCCAGTTCGTCTCCTGGTATCTCTCCATTCAGCATGGCTGAGATCTCGCTCAGACACTGCGCCTCCAGCTCCCTCAGGATCTCATAGATAGCTAAACCCTCGTCCTGACACAGACAGAAGAAGACAGAGATGTCAGAACAGTAACGGGGGTGAAATAGGGCTGGAATGTTTAAACCTGCTTAAACAGTGCAGCTATGTGACTAAATACTCAACTATGATCAAGTAATAAACAGATGTACATTTACAAGAATCCAGATCCAACTTGCAGCCTTTTGAAAGGAAATTCAACCAGACATCTGCGGCGGGAGGTGCAGGTTTAATGACAGTTGCTGTTGTCACACACCTCCATTTCCTCTATGGACTAATCTGGGTTTCTACATGGATTTTAGCTGCTCACCAAAACAGCAGTAATAGCTCTGTCCCAATTCCATACTACATACTGATAATATACAATGTGTACCACTATTTTCAGATAGTTAGTTAGTACAAAACTATCTATTAACTGCTTGTTCAATGCAGAAACCAAAATACATCAACCAAAATTATGACTTTGATATGCCACTGCCGATTAAACTACAGCAATGGAAAGTAAAATACATGCTATGCCGAAGAAAGCAGCTGCACTGCTATGGATTCAATTATAACTGTTATTCAGTTTGTTATTCATGTCAATCCATGCCGAACGAGGCAATTTCTTCACTGATGAATACTGTTTTAAGCCCCAGAAAAAAGCTAGTGAGCTGACCTTGACTCGTCAAACTACAATTTCAGAGCTCAGGAATGACTTCGCATGTAATCTGCATTTATTTTAAAGTTACTTCTGAAAGAAAAATAAATAAAATCCCACATTCCTAATCTTACAAATAAAATGTTGTCACTAGTCATTAAAAGTTGCTCAATTTAACCTGGTATGATGAGCTTATGGTGGCTAATGTTGGTAAACCTGAGGTAGATATGACTGTGTAACTGATATTAAATTAAATTGCTGATTTCATTACACTTCACTGCTTAGCTACTGTTACATCATATTTTAACGTTTACCATTATGTGTGTCACTTGTGGACACACTGGCTGCTGTAATATAGTAATATAAATATAATAAAGTACCATAGGCCTGCTTTAATGTTTTACAGCAGTGAGTTATTCAATGTGAACAAACAAATGTACTCAACAGCTGCTTTGAATTTGTATGTAGAATGAAATTGGGAATTTGGTTACTACACCAGGCTCTTGTGTATCTGTAAATAGCACACTGGTCTTTCTGTGGCACCTTATTCTATCTCAGTTACTATATAATAAACTCAATGCTGGTTAAAATGTATGTGCTTAGAATGTCTGAACAAAAAAACACAAGTCATCTCGGACAGGACAGTCACTTTGTTTTGCAATAGTAAAACCTCCCAGCATTCTCATGATGGTCTTTGGTTGCACTGAACCCTGCTCTTTGGCTTTCAATGTGTACTTGTAGTGTGTTTATGTTTAGTCTACACTCACGCCATGTGTCTTGTCTGCACTAACTGTGAGGTCCTGTTGTGTTTTGCTCCTCAATGGGAGTGTCAGTCCTGTGTGACTCGTCTGCAATTAATCAGCAACAACTGAAGGAGTTCAACTCTCAATAAAATGCTGTGCATGTACATATATATATCTATATATATAGATATATATATAAAAATGGATGTGAACTTCCAGCTCTGCCTGGATCTGCACCGGACTATCATTGACCTAGGTCATCCACCAGTGCCCACCGGGTTGGTCTCCATGGTGTTGAGCGCCACCTGGTGGGCCTTGTACAGGTCATGTCTGCGGTCCACCTGGCTCTGAAAGCGAGGCTGCTTCCTGACAGGGTCGTCTGGGCCGAACTGTGGGGCGATCACCCGCAGCACTGGGGTGGAACAGTCCGAGAAGATAAAAGGCTTGAATACAGACCTACCAGGGTACGGGGGGGGGGTTGACAGGGAGAGTAACAGGAAAGACAGAAACGCAGACTCAGAAACTCCCATCACCCAGAGTGGAGACAGACTGCAGAAGAGGTTGTGGAGGAAGAGAATACTGGGGGTTTAACACGTCATGGTGTATGCATTTGAAATTGACAGGCTATTTCCATGAAATTAAATTAAATGTAAATAAATGTTGCTACAACTGATCACTCGGTATATTATTGATCTACTGAAGTCTTGACTTTTTCTCTGTTCAATGTAGTTTTTGCTTTGTTTCTGATGCCACAAAGGTAAAAAACATTACTGCAGTTTTTCCAGACAGAACGTACCACACACTAGGAATGTATCTGGTAGGACAGGGTTTTGGACCAATGTCCCTCTGGTCGAGCAACATGTTTCAGCCCAACAGCTGCTGAATTTAGGATATAACAGGAATGCAGAGCTCTCTTTTGGTGGGGGTCTTCTTGTGGTCAAAGTAGCAGTGACACATTGGAGCACTGCAGTTTGGCATGTTTTATGGCTTTGTTCTTCCATAATAATATAGAAACAACGTTCCGACTCAGATGTTTTAGGGGCAATTTTAGGTCACAAGGGTTTATTGTAAATGTTCCCTGAAGGAACTGCCCCATTTAAACCAAAGTATATATAGTACATATATTCATTATTAGTTTATTATTAGAAGCTTTCTTCATGTATGTTGAATTGTATGTAAAAATCTCAAGGTTAGCTTAGCATTTGAAATTACTTGGAGGTATACTACAAAATCACTTTTTCTCTATTTTCCAGATATTAAATACCAACTACTTTTATAATGTAAGTATTTGTTTCTGACTTATTCCTTTATTTTCCTTTTCCCTGTGTCTTTCTTATGTTTCCTCTGTCCTTTTTCAATGTCTTTTTTTTTTACATAGATATTATCATGATGCTACTGCTAGTAGTAGTAGTAGTTAGCCTATTTTACCTTTTTATTCTTTCTTTTTTACAGTTTTCTTACCGGACACACTGATTGTGACAACCATCTTGTTGCTGTAAATATGGTGTGTAAAACTGAACATATAAATGTGGGGACAATTAGTATCAACTTACATCCTTCTATACAGTAACTAAAGAACCAGGGAAATTGTCAGGAATTTATGGACAAATATTTTCCCTAATTATTATATTTGATAACTATTATGATCTCAAGGAATTCTTAGTTTCATTGGTGACATACCTGGAGGGGTCTGGGGTGGCAGTGAAGAAGTGGATGCAGGGCAGGCTGGTGTCTCTGGGCAGGACAGACACCATGCTGCCTGTGGTGCAGAAACCTCCAGAGTCCATGCAGATGCCACTGGGCTTGTCCCTCAGAATGGACATCATCACCTCTGCCGTCACTGAGCCTAACAGGGCAGATCAGAGCGTTAACAGTGTTCTCAGGGTGATGTCCAAAGGTATTCTGGGAAATGTACCCTCACCGTCATGCTGCTGGAGTAGCTGTGTGCCTCCCTTGTAGCGCTGTTTGGCCAGCTCCATCCTGGCAGGTGGGTTCTCGGGGCTGAACACCTGAGAGAAGTTGAACTCTCCTTCGCCGTCCCACCAGCCCTGAGCCTGGGCCACACTCCGCAGCTCCGGGTGCTCTGCGGAGACCTCAGTACAGATAGTCAGCTGGTTGGAGATGTTCTTCACACCCTCTGAGAAGAGAGAGTGGCTGTTAGTGTGTGAAGACGCCTTGTTTAAACCAAAGATTTACCTTTTAAAAGCAGGTACAAGTCTGCTGTTTGTTCATGTACCGCGTGCTCGTCTGCGCTGTATTTGCATACACACTGAGCACAGCGGCTTGCTCGGTTTATCTCCAATTGACAGAGTGATCCAACCCTGATGAATGAGCGTCTCTTCACCACAATTTCAGGATTCCCTGAATTATATGACACATCTCTATAAGCTGTGGTCTCATGTAGAAGAATGAAGAATGCACAAAGAGATCTGAATGAGCTTTATTTACTTTGTAATTTAGCTTCCCACATTAAAGAGCAAATATGAGTCATGTAAGTATTTAAATATTTCGTATGGATTTGCTCTTTAAGGCTGATTAAGCAGCTGATCACTCAATGCATAACTGTAGTCTGGTTTGGTCTTGTAGATGCTGCACTGATGCGTGCTAGCGGTGTAGATTTAGGCATCGTCTGCTGGTCAGTCCACAACGGTGGTCCAGACTGATGTCTCTCAACAACTACTGGATGGTTTAGGTGATCTCTGATTTTTCATCTACTGTGGTTTGTGACCAAATACCTGAGAAACACACATTCCCATCAGCCTTCACTGTACTTTGTGTTAATTAGGAAATCTTAGCATGTTAACTAAGATACTGGACGTGATAAACATACCTGCTAAAGAGCATCATGTTAGCACTGACATTGTGAGCATGTTGGCATGCTGATGTTAGCATGTAGCTCAAAGCACTGCTGTGCCAGTACCTCACAGAGCCGCTACAGTGGCTGTAATCTAAAGCTGTGTCCGATATCCCTCCTCCTGCAGAGCATTGCATTGTGTGATTGTTAGCAGAAAGTAGCCTACATGCCATGGACACTACCTTTTACATTTTATTGTGGAATTCTTGATTGATGATTTCCATTCATTTTTTAGTTGTTAGCAAATGTTTTTTTAAACAAGAGTAAAGAGCCTTTACTGGAACTATTTTCAGCCTTGGATTAATATATATTTGGTGCTCTAGAGAGTCTAGTAGACTTGTTGAGAAGTGGGACAAAAATCACCCCATTCAAAGGTGCTGATTTTTGCAGATGAAAAGAATATATCTGATCTAATCATTGAGCTGTCTCAGTTATTAGTACAGTTAGTGTTTGACTCCTGGTACAGTATCCTGTGTTTCTGTATTCTCACTGTGTAGTTTTGGTTGTAAATTGTAATTTTTATATATTGCAACTCTTTTGCTGCATTTGTCTACTGTGCACATGTGGCACCAGTTGCAATGTATGTCTGTCCTGGGGTTTCTCCCACTGTTTCCCTATCCTTATCCAAAATGAGGATAAAGAGTGTCACGTTGTACAGAGTGTGAAGCCCTGAAAAAAAAAAAACAGCACAGAAAGTTGGCCGACGTGAACTAAAGTCTGAGGTGTGTGTGTAAGTCACATATTGAGGAGCATGCTTAAGTCAATAAATTGTTATTATATATGGATCTGTAGTAAGTGCATATATTAACAGTTCTGCACCCATTGAGCCAGATTAAATGTCTAAACTATACGTGCACCCTTCGCCTTGCATCCTCACCAGTGACCTTCTGCGCCACCCACAGCCTTCCAGCGGTTTCCAGGACCCAGGCCTCATTGCGGTCCACCAGGAGGAAGGTGTTGTGGTAGCTGAAGGGTGCGGGATCCTCCCGGCACTGCCCCCCCTGGCCATGCTGCTCCAAGAGGCCAGTGATCACAGTCAGCGCTGCCCAGGCACTGTCACCACGCTCCAACCCCAGTCTGATGATCATAAGTCATGCTGGGTTACTTCAAATACACAAGTTTTCTCTTCACAAGATATCAGTTATGTAGTCATAAAGTGGGTTATTTATTAACTGTAACAATTTCAGACACACTTGTTTAACTAACCATGAGGACCGGTTGAGTTTGTTGGTGATGTTTACACACTCCTTTGGTATGTGTTTCGTAGGAAATGCTACTGTTAAGTGGTACGCTCCGCTACTTACTACGCCTGTCATAACATGCTTGTGGCAATCCACACACCCTTCTGATCAAAGCCTGAGAGGATCAAGTTAATACTTCTACTGAATATCCAACATCCAAACTGTACTTAATTAATAATTACTGTAATTAATGCAATAATTGCTCCCATCAGCTCTGGAGATTATTTTTTCTTTATTGATAGAACCGGATAAGCTGTTAATTTATCCGTACAGTTTTTTTGTTGTTGTTGTTTTTAGGTATACAGTATCAAAAGGTTTTCGTTGCTCACCGAACAAGGTCCATTCCCAGCAGGGCCTCTCCGGGGGCAACGGGCTCTCGGGTCCAGACAGCCTCATTCCCAATACACACTCCCTGATCATTGGCTCCCATTTCGGCGCCCCACATCCAGGCAGGCTTGCTGAGGATGACAGCGTGAGTGTGCTCTACCTGAGGGATCTGGATGTATGTGCACTGCAGACAAAAAAGAGTGAGTGAGACACAGTTAACATTAAGGTCACGTTGCATCGCACCAACCGTTTCAGAGTTATATGCTCGTCGTGTAGTATGCAAAGCTGACACACTTGCATTAATCCCCAGGATATAAAAAACTGAATACCTCATGTATTTTTCACATCAGTGAAACTCAAAAGGCAAAATTACCTCCCCCCTGCCTCTATGCAGCAATACCATCACACATATGGTCTTTCTAAGATAAAGATATATTAATGCATCCATTAGTTCAATTCAGAATTAACAGTCACGCGAGAGTAGAATGTTGTTTTTATGATTTAAAAAAAGATATTTTCATATTCAGAGTTGTGTGGAGAAAACAACATTTTCAAAATCCCCTCCAGGCAGGTGTTAAGACATACATACAAATAGTCGATAATGTGTGTCTGAGGTGTTTTTTAAAAAGTCATCTACTCCTTCTACCTCACTAAAAATTCCACAATCGTTTCCCTGCTGGACACAAGATGTCTATTCCTTCAGTGTAAAGCCAAATTTCCTTCTTCCAAACTATTTGTGATGTCACAAATCCTGCTTGTAGGCCCCTTCAAATCTGATTTTCAATGAGCACAGAGAAACTTTCCACTTTCAGCAGACGAATGTGAAAACAACCTTCTATTGTCAAACTGCACATACAGCCTTCAAACAGCACACTGTAGGAACAGGAAGAAAAAAATATATTAATATATATTATATTAAATTTAAAGGGCTGGTTCACCAACATTACAAAAATGTTTTTCCTCCTTTACCTCTAGTGGTTTTGAAATATCTACCTGTATGAATGCAATTTAGTTGGTGGAGCTAACAAAACTATTACTTGTTTTCATCAGCTACGCTGTCAGAAATGTTCTGTATGTTCTACCTATTTTTAATAACAGCAACAGGTTATACATTTAACCTGAAGACATTTTAATCCACACAACAATCTGTCAATGGTTTACATAAGGACTTACAAAAAAGTAGCTCTAATGAAACTTGTTGTTTACAGCGAGGACTGTGTGTTATCCTGAGTGATCAGGACACATTACTGCTGATTCATTTTTCAATGCTGTGAGCACCACAAACATACAATACCTCTACTGCAAATCTCAGAAATAGATATGTCAAAACCTGGACAAATAAAACCAACACTGCATGACTGAGACGTGAGAGGGAGAAGAGTTTTCATCAGCAGGTTAAAACTTCCTCTTAAACATTAACAGGAAAGAATGTTTCCACATAAAGTTGCCATGTAAATATTTTACCATTGTGTCTCAGAGTTCTTTCTTAGACAGGCTTATTGTGAATAATGCACTAATATGATGAGCAAATATATGATCTGAATCTTTTTATTCTTAATTCTATGCGCCAGAGTGTGGAAGTAAGCAGCATATCAGTCACCCTGTGTATTTCTAGCATTCGTGGTGCCTGTTGTCAGCAGCAGTGGGGGTGTGGGACTGCAGGAGTCCAGGGGGGCTTTACCTCCAGCATGGAGCCTGGAGGGTGAGACGCTGCGGGGTAGTGGACCACCTCCTGCACCTCATCCCGGGGACGGTCGGAGTTCTTCCCAAAAATCACATGGTCATCGCGAGAACCGGGGGGCAAGGAAACAAAACAATCACATGACATGGGAGCCTCTGCCATCCTGCAACAAAGAAACAGCAAAACAAATGGGTGGGAAACAAGTTAGAAGTCTGGCTGGCTCTGTGGGAGGAATTAAAAGTAACTACCTCATGTAAACAATCTGATTTCAAACTAATCATAAGAGTCTGACAATGTGTTTGACATCCAACGCAAGTGCGCCCACACCCTTTTTAGACCACAATGTGCGTGCGTGGAGTCAGGAGGAAGACTCTCCTGCCATTCCCCACCCAGCTGCTTTTTTTTGTGTGTGTGTGTGTGCAGAAAGTCAGATTCAGCCGGTGCACTGCCCATCCCTTTCACACAGGGATTAGGAGGCAGTCTTGTGCAGAGCACTTTATTGACTGTAATCTTCACAAATCCGACCGCCACGTTGCTCTATTATCGCTCCCGTCTCGCATTTGCGACCGTGCATCGCTTCCAGTCCGGAAATAATGTCGCCTAAAGTGCGCAGATCGCAGATGTAGCCCGTGGCGGAGCTCGGTTGGAGATGAGTGTTTCTTACAGAGATAAGGCCTGACTGAGCACACTGTCACCCCCCCGTCTCTCTCCGGAGCAGCGACGCGCCCGTCGCTCCGTGTCATTCCGCCTTTAACTGGGGGAGTGGGGTTCAGTAACAAAGGGTGAACTTCGGGGCTAACAGCCTGTAAACTAGAGCTAGTCTGTCAATGCTGCTGTAGAAAATGTTTACCTTTTTTTTTTTCAATGGCGAGAGCGGCCGGCCGGCTGGGAGAAGGCAGGTTGTAGAGACCGAGTCACGTGACCGAGAAATCCTAAGGTATGTACTTAAAGGTCTCGTCTCGTCTGGCCACAAGCACAGCTCACCGTCTCACACAGCCGGGCGTCCAGTCCACACCTGTGGAAAGCTGCACAGCAGGCCTGAATGATGATGTAGCTCTTCATCATGAGTCTGCCTCCCCCTCCGCCTGCAAACCCACAGCCACTGATACAATGCTCAGTCACACTCGAGTTCATGGGAATCCCTCCATGACACATCCTGCAAGCTGTTACAATCCAGTGTCACTAAGAGAAGTTAACAATAAAGAAAGTGCTTTATTTCTGCCCTCATCCACTGTATATAAAAAATAAGAGCGTATAAAACTGTAATTATATGCAAAGTATTTCTTTCACCATAGTTGCTGATTATCAGCTTCACTTAAACTCATGAGTTCATGTCTGTGTGACTCAAAATGATGACCTGGACAAACGTCTTACCTTGCATTCGCTCAAGTAAACAAGTTAACATTTTCATAGGAAACAGGACTGACTGCCACAGCTGCAGGGACTCTCCACCCGGTTCACACCACAGGTTCAGTTTACAGCTCACACAGAGTACACTCAGCCTGGAACCGCTCTATATAATGCAGTTTGAAAAAAATAACCCTGATGATGTCTTTAGAGTTATGATTGTATGGAGTTGCATTATGGGAAATATAGGATCCAGCATTTTAAGGAGCTTGACCCATACGTCATACAGACTCTGCTGCTTCAATTTTAATAATTATTTTTATTAAATCACTGTCCTGACCCTTTAACCATTAAATTACAGGCTGTGGTTTAGGTGTACATATGAAATCCCCTATATTTGTTAAATAGGCATGTGTATGTAGGTATCTGTTTGAGAGTTATGTAATTTCTTTAGCTTATTTCTTATCTATGTTACTGAATAAGAATTTATACATTCTTTCTATACTCACTTAATTCACTAATACATTTTTTTTATATTGAATTTTTTTTATTGATGTTTTGGTCAGACAAATACAAAACAATAACTGTTACATTATTACAGTTACATGAATAGGAGTTACATTGTGTCTTTTTCAGTATCTGCCCAGTCTTTTATATTTTTTTTCTTCACAAACAGGAAAAAAAAGAAAATAAAAGAAAATAAAAAGGAGTTTGTCCACATCTTATTCAAGAACACAATTATTGCATTCCACATGTCATTAGTTTTATCACACTCATATAACATATGCACCAGAGTTCCCACCTTCTATTACATCTCCAGCATATATCACAGTTTCTGAGTTTTAGTCTTGCTAATTTGGAAGGAGTCCAGTAGGATCTATTTAATATCTTATAACAAATGAGTTGTGACTGTGTTTCACGTGAGTAACAGTACCATGATGCACAAAGTTTTTTCCAATCATTTTCTGGTATCTCCTGGGCCAGGTCCCTATCCTAACATAGGTTTAGACCACCCAGTTTTGGCACTTGTGTACTTTTAACCCCTTCAGACCCTGTGTCCATTACAATGGACGTCACTTGACAGGGGCTTCTTTTTTACTTTTTGCAACATTTAACAGACAAAAAAATAGGTATGATGTTGTCATATGATGTTGGTATTTTAACAACTGTTTGGACCCGATGTCCATTGAAATGGACAAGAAAAATAACAAAGGGTTTTGATAAAAAAATTTTTTTTTATTGATTCTCATTTCTGGTTGCATTAAGGATGGGAAAAAGTCATTATTATATTTTTCACAACCTTGGAACATAAGGCGGGTCTGAAGGGGCTAATAAATTCATAGAATTTTGATGCTCCTCTGTTTTTATCTCCTACCTTATGTGATATTTCCTGAATTTCAGTTTTAGTGTGCTGAATATGTTCTTTATTTGAGAGAATGCAATGTCTGAGTTGTAGAAATCTCAAGAATTCTGAATTACACAGATTATATTTATTTTTAATTTCATCAAAGGATCTGAATCCAACATCTCCCATCACATCCTCAAGAATATGAATACCAGACCTAATCCATTTATCCCAAAAGAAACTCTTCTTTTCTATTAACAGTTTTTTGTTATACCATATGGAGGATCTGCTTGATACATATGGATTGGCTTTTGTTATTTGATGTGCAATTTTCCAAGACTCTCTGGCAAACGCCAGTACTGGGTCTTGGGAGGGAACCGGTCTATCTGTTTGTGAAAGGAAGGCCTCCACAGAAAAAGGATACACTAGTTGCTCTTCTATCCTGACCCACAGAGGGACCCTTGTAGGTGGTAGGTGAATTTTAGATAGCTGTCACTAATACATTTGTTTATACCTTATTAAGTACTAGTATAATCCTTTACTTGAGTTAAAGGGACAGTTCACCCCAAAATCAAAACGATATATTTTTCCTCTTATCTGTAGTGCTATTTATCAGTCTCCATTATTTTGGTGTGAGTTACCGAGTTTTGGATATCGGCGGTAGGGATGTCTGCCATGTCTCCAATATAATAGAACCAGATGGGCCAAAAAAAAAACATTTGAAACATAGCCAAGGAGGACGCCAGTATCCTAAGCTGTCACAAGCACAAGCCTCTCACCCATACCCACTTCCTTCTGCTGCAGCAGAGTTACATTGGACTACTTTTTATGCTGTTGGGTAGTTTAATCTATGATACTCATATTTAATAAGGTGAAAAATGTAACTACAGATGTATAAATATAGTTAATATGCAGTCTAAAGATTCTTCTCTTTTCTGAGGACTCACAGTTTTTAGCACTGTGAAAACCACACTACTGCGTTTTACCAGTACTCTGGATCATATGTTGGCTAATCAGTGTTATTAAAGTTGGGCGAATTCCTGTGTGTCAGTGGTTTTATCGAGTGGGTGTCTCCCATCGCTGGTGTTTCATTGAATTATGTCGCTGACACTTCCTGTCTGTGGGCTCAGTCTTTCCAGACTCACACACTTCCCAACACCTTCCACCTGCTCGTAGCACTTCACTTCATCCAGCAGTGATTGTAAAAGGTTGAATCACCCAAACTAAGAGAAGAGAGAAAACATCTTCTGAAGCTTTACAAAAGTATCTAGCAGTGCAGATACTTTTGGTTTAGTTTGTCCAAGTTTTAGATATCTGAGATTGGTGTCTCCAACTAGATTTTATTTGTTGTGCTAACAACATAAAAAAAATGAAATATAAAATAATAATTTTGAAATATTTGTATATTTTATATGTCTTGCCATAAACAGTGTCCCTGCTACTTTGGATGATAACAGTTATAATGGAAATTATTTCTTCAGTAGAAAGAAATTCCAGTGAAAACTGTGTTTTCTGGAAGACACAAGTATGTGTTTCCAGACCTCTGAATTTCTGCCTACGCATCCAATGTACTCATTTTCTGCTATTTCAGTAGGTGTCTTGCTCATTGCTTGCATCTAGACAGTTTTGGAAAAACAACTAAGCTAATCAGAGTTTTGAAGAACTACTCATTATGTCACCTTCCTGTGTTAGAGACAGAAAGAATGTGACATAAGATTGACACCTTTACTGGTGGTTGTAAATCAACTACAGAATGACAAGCATAAAAGCTGCACTAATCCATATTCTTATATTAACAATGGATCAAAAAACTACACATAATGTAAACAGTGTTGCTTGTAGTGACGAAACCAGAGATACATATTACCCGACTCTGCAGTTCCCCTCAGCTCAAGCTGCCTCGGTTTTATGGCTCACAGTTTTGGTAAACTTTTTTCCACCAAAAAGTTCCTATAAACCCACTGTACACTACCTGCCAAGCCCCAAGAGTCAAGGTTAGCAGCTAACTTATATTAGGTAGTAAGAGCTAGCATTTCAGTCAGGAGCTGGTGGAGACCAAACCAGAGCTAAAAAGAGAGTCCATATTGGACTTAGATTCATCAAGTGGCTGGAGACACAACTCCCAATAAATGCTAATGCCAGTCTACATCTTCTGGATGTGTAAACTGCTAGCAAGTTTGTCATTTTAACTTAATAAGGTGATATCAATTTTGTGTTTACAACTTAGTAGTAGCCAAAAAAGTCCTTAATTCAGCTTTAAAGTACTGGGTGTCATTTCTACCACTAGGGGGGTGTCTCACATCAAAACGATAACGTCATGAAGTAGCATGGGATATGGGAGTTGTTGTCTTCATCGTTAAACAACCACCATTGCTGATGAAAATCTATCTGACATGACTCGAGCAGATATTGTTCAGGAACGTTTTGTGAAATCTGCCCAATTTCTTCCCCATTCCCTGACGTAGCCGACGTATCCCGCGTTTAACCGGAACTTAGCAACTAGAGTCAAGTAGGAAATGCTCCGCTCCTTGAATAAAGTAACCTATTTCTCCGGGTTTGAACATTGTTGGAAACAATTTGGATAATGTTAGTACACAGTTCGACAAAATATATAACATAGGTGTAGTGTTTTAATTTTAATGGGGAAATATTACACATTATATCTTTAAGTTAACTTCCCAAAAAGCTGGCTACAGCTAACCAACTGATGTATCCGCTGAAAATGACGTCCATCGAGTGGATACGTCTCTTGGTACAGATTGGTTAGGGCAAAACCCTTTCCCAAAGAAAGCTAACTTCCATTATATTGGAGTGGAGGGAGAAAACTGCATGCATTGACACCTCTACATGTGTTTTCTGCTCATTTGGGTCAAACAGCACACGCAAGAATTCCAGTGACTGAACAATGAACTGACAGCGTGGAGTCAAACTAATAACCTCACCTGTGCTAACAATAGATGTGGTTGCTGTAAGTTCTAACTAATAATGTAAACCTGCCCGACTGCATTGCAGTGACATTCTTAGTATGTCATTCCCAACGTCCAAACCCAAAGTCAATAACAACTGCTCATCAATATGCATGTCGGTAGGCCCCATTCTTACTCATGTTGCATCTGTCATGTTGTCGTGATGCAACCAGTTTAATAGCAGTGGTTTAGTAACAGTTTACATGCACACAGAGCATACGGATCAAGGAGCGCCAACCTAGCTGCTCCGAATGTTCGACTCATGGTTGTGTTTTGAGATTGAGCACCTGGACCCTATCGGTGTTCAGTTGTGCCCAGATTTTCAGGAGGTGTTGAGTTATTTTCTGAAGCAACGTGGTGGTGAGTGGTGTTCATTGGTGGCTCACTAAGAATGCTGAAGGCAACAGGACTGAATTCTTGAGAGATTTCAGAGAAG